TTCCTCCCTTAGTAAGGTTAGGGCAAGAGTCTCCCCCAGTTACAGGTTTTCTAAGTCAGTGTTTGATGGGTGTAAACATTATCATGTTTCTTGTGGCGGGGTAAAAAACTGAGGCAGTTTTTTCCCTGGAATCAAACACCGACCATAAAATTGCGTCATTGCTCAGGCAAGACAAGGGCTGATGCACCAAAAGCCCAAAATGTTTTTCCTGAGATTAGGGTGTTGTTTATCATAACTAAGGGGCCCCCGCGATGGAATTAAATGGGAATTAATCGTTTAATTCGAGTTAATACCCGCGGGGAAAGTGCGCAGATTCCCCTTTTCTAGAATCGGGTGGTCCCACACGTATATCCTTAGTAGGCTGTGGATATCATGTTACCTAAGCTATTTGCTAATCACCTTGTGGTATTTTCTAGGTGGTCTTTTCCTGGCATATTTCTTTAAGTACAGTGATGCAGCTAGGGTCATGTCATATTTTGCAGCAAGACTCACGCGTTGTTTGCACGCGTTTTCCCCTCCCATCCCTGTCCCCTTGTACTCACTTCTCCTCCTGCTTATATCCCGTCATATACTTCCTTCTGCCTTCTCCTGTCTCACTTCTTCTCACACAGTCATTCGATTGTGTGACAGGTGTATCAGTCTGATTATCGGGGTAAAAAACTGAGGCAGTTTTTTCCCTGGAATCAAACACCGACCATAAAATTGCGTCATTGCTCAGGCAAGACAAGGGCTGATGCACCAAAAGCCCAAAATGTTTTTCCTGAGATTAGGGTGTTGTTTATCATAACTAAGGGGCCCCCGCGATGGAATTAACAGGGTTTTTTTAGATTCAGTGGCGTAGCGCACGATGTGTACCTTTAAGTACAAAACTAAGGGCCCCCAAACGTTTGGGCCTGGAAGGGGCCTCAGAGAAATTTCTCGAAAAACGGACTTTTGGATGGAAGCACATGTTTCTAGCAAGTATTCAAAGCGTCATCAAAATGAGCGTATGAATGGGCATGATTTGTGATTGTGATTGTGAGCAACCATGAAATAATGATGTAAGTTATGGCATCTCAATTAGGTTTCTTTTTAATGCACATCTATATCCGTCAAGGGCGGATCCAGACATTCGCAACATTCACACTGGCGAACGTCAGATTCGGTGGTACAAAAATTAAAAATGGCTTTGAAAAAAACAAACATTTGAGCTAAACTAAAAACAAACTAAAAAACAAAGTAAAGCTTTTCGTCTGACACTATTCAGAGTTTAAAACGTCAGAACATAGGTCGAAAACTCTACGCTAGGAAATATATATACCCAGTTGTTGATTGAAATAGGCCAATCAGAAACACGAGCACATGACTGTAAAGGTTGACGTTGACCAATCAGTGCCGCTTGCCTATTGAAGATGTTGCCAATGGAGTCCTAAGGTGAAAACGAACTACTTCTGTCCAGTGGCGTAGCGTCCGGGTATTCAAGGTATTCAGTGAATACCCTGAGATTTCTCAGAAAAAATATTAATACGACGTATAATTGTAATAAGTAAAAAATGTTTTGGGGCTATTGATTCTGGTTGAATTCGTTACCTTCGATATTCTACATTTTGTACAAGTACAAAATATCATCAAATTCATGGAAACAATAACGCTGCGAAGCATAGAGAAGCTGGGAGATCTTTGAAGCTAATTTTGAAGATTGAGCTACTTCATGATGTATGGTCATGAATACGCAGTGAATACCCTAGACGGTACTTTAACCAATCAAAATGCTCCTTTCCATGAATAATATTTGCCGTTAATCAGCTAAAACAATGGTTCTGTACGCTGAGAAATATGCAGCGTACAGCCTCAAAGTTGGTTCAAAATAGTCTCGTTATGAGATCGATATAAACAGTTAATGGGCGTCGGAGCGGAGCGGTTGGAGTGATGGAGCTGCATCGAAAACAGTAAACATGACTTAATTAAAAAAACTATTGCAATGTCTGTATTACTGTTTCATAATCATTCTCTCATTTGACCCCTAATCTTAATCTACCAACAGCAAAGTGGAAAGGAAAGGTAGGCTGCTACATAATACTACACTGATTCAGATCTGTTCCCTCTTGAAATGCCAATTTGTTATTGCCTGCCAATCAGGGATGTTTCTGTTTGTATTATGTGATAGAATTAAAGTAAATGCAGATAGGCCTGGATAATATCCTCATAGTTGCCTGGTGTATTCAGTTATCTTGTTGGCCTATTTTGTTTGCATTATTCGAGCGCATTTATGTGCAGTTTCATCTCATTACCTTCGATTCTTTCAAATATTAACTTGTATTGAAAATATCACGATTAGGCCATGAATAAAAAGTCTTTACTGCATACCACAAACTATTTATAACTCGTGTAATGCCCTATCTATATAATTTTGAAACTTTTGAAAGCCCTTTTGTATTAAGGTATCAAGAGTAGGTGTTTACAGTTACTTCCTCTTTAAATCAGTGCGAATGTTAGACGATTTAACAACAACTATTGGGACATATTTCGACCAGTAAAATTTTACTGGCTTTCAATGATATGTTTTGATTTGAATTACTTTTGATGAAATGGTTAGTAGTAATTTGATGCAATGAATGAGTACCAAGAGTATATTTGAAGGGTCCTTTAGCAAAGTATCGTTTTTATCATAGCAATGCCCTGACAGTGCAGTACTTTCCAACCGAACCAAAAAGAAAATTAGATTAAATGTCAATAGCTAGTGCTTTTAATCTTCCTACGTTCCCTCCTATTTCCATCAAGCCCCATCAAGCCACACCTTGCCCCACCCTTTTGTTTAATAGAGAATACCCAGTTGAAAAAGTCACGCTACGCCACTGCTTCTGTCTATACAAAAGCGGGTTTTCGTGTTTATGTAGATAGATTCCAAAACTGCTTTGCCAATAATCTGGAACATGCCGCTATTATATTTTTTGCACAATAAGGGTTGTCAGTGACGAAAATTTGCTTGACTCCTACTACAGCGTAAATTTTTTCTGATGAATTGCCTCGCAAAAACGTGAAACTGCGCGTATGACTTACAACACAGATCATACAATTCAACTTAAGCCATAAAACTGGTGCATTCGAATGTTTTTGTCATCTCAATCTTCTTTACTGCTGGTGCTTTAACATTTTTATAGAAAGCTGATACGTATTAAAGAAGACTTTCTATATAGCAAGTATGTATTCAATATAGCAAGATAAAATAAAGAAATTAATCTTGAACTTAGATGAAAGAGATAGAGTAGTTTTAATTACTCAGGGTGGTAAAGAAATTAGTTTTCGCTAAAACAAATTTTTTTGTGGAATCTTCTACAAATTTGATCAGGTATTAATTTTGCGGATGTACCGAATACTGCACAGGAAATTATAAAAAATCTCCCGATTTTCAATATTCTTAGGTTGGAACGTCTGTCATTTTAGAATTTTTGTTTACAGGTAATGTATTCTAACTGATAAATATGCAACCAAGATGAAACTGATGTTACGTAATATTGTGTATCTGATCATTGTTCATTCTCAATGTCACTCAAAAAGGATAAATGATGGAAGCATTCTTCCGGGCTACGGCTCAATGTAGGCCCCCCACAACAGCACTAGATAATGGCAGCAAGTCGGGCGCGGCCGCATTTGTATCAGGTTAAAATCACTTTCCCGCAGTGACGTCATTGTACTGTGATATGCTGTCTTCAATGGTCTGACTCCAGAAACTGCTCTCTCTGTTTAGCAAGAACCTATGGATGAAAAGCACCCTTACAGCCTCTAAGGCCTGTTTGGCCGAACACCAACTTCTTGAAGGCAATGAAAAAATTCGAAAAATTCATACAGATGGTGGTAGGTTGAACAGTTCCACTGGATTTCTATCTACAAGCCTTGACTTAAGATTGTTTGTATTACTGTCAAGTAACGGGACAGCTACAGAGGAATGGAACTTTCGATGTTATCGTGAGACTGCTCGAGCGTATTGTACCTTGTTTGGCTTGTTTGACTGAACATCAACCTATTGTGCAATTTCCACTGCCTTCTCATACCAGTCCGTGAATTCTTTCAATATATTCGCTCATTTCTTGCAAAAGTCCACTATGAACCTATCAATTATGTGATAAGCTTGAATGATGTCTTGGATGCAGTGGCGTCGTGGCCGGGGGGGGGGGGGCAGGGGGGCGTGGCCCTCTCTGTTTTCAAAATTTGACGGATTTTCGGAAAAATCATTGATTTGTCGGAAGATTCTCAAACTTGAGTTGTGGATAATCCTCAAACTTTCAGCGACATAGATTACTTGGACTAAAGTACTTACCGTAATTTCCAGGGCCAATTCCCTTTTGTAAAGAAAATACTATATATGTTTCCACAAATCAACATGATTTCTCAGGATTTGCCGATTTCTACCATAGAGTGATTTGCTGCTCGGGTTTTGTCAGCTAAAATCCAAAGTTTCAAGGGCTAAATTTGGCTATGGAAATTTGTCAATATTAGTCATAAAATAAGTCTTTACTTTATATTGAAGACCGGGACAGTGCCAATGTTGTGCCTGTAACCAGATTTTGAAAATTTTGTCCCAGATTTGAAAGTTTATGCAGTTATGTTGTGTAAGGTAAAATAAGGAAGAAGTTGATCAAAACCATCGCTTTCCCCCAGTGGATATTCAATTCAAGAATGAGATTTTGTTATTAAAATTTGCTTCAAAGAATGCAATTCTCCAGTGCCTAATGAGAATGTTATCAATGGAGTCCTAAGGTGAAAACAAAATCCTTCTGTCTACACAATAGCAGCTTTTTCATGTTTCAATAAATTCTAAATTCTATCACCTAGACAATTTCTGAAGTGTTTTCCATATATTCTTTAATTGGAACACTTCTAGTTTACTGCAGGTTTTAATAAACTTATTGTCATTTCTAATCTTTGGTCTCTAGTAGTGTCAAAACTGTCTAGTCAACAGAAAAATAATTTTCCAGGAACAGGATATGTAAAATCTAGCAGGGAAGAAAAACAAAATTAACTTCTTTAAATGCTGAAGCAATGTAATGAAATGTACCTAAAAGAGAACTATACAGAATGTTGTTGAAAATGCATTAAATGATAATGTATTTCTTTCAGGCAAGCAAGTTTCCTTCATTAATCCAAAACTTTCATGCCATTGCTGAAAAACCATCCCCAATGACTTCATAGCCAACATTTTTATGGCTTCTGTTTAAGCCATGATGAAACTTTTCCTTTTCAAATGGATATCCAAACCTTGATATGAGCCCAATTTAGTTATGAAAAAGTGGAATTAAAGTAGATGGAGTGCATTTGGTCTTACATCATTAAATAAAATGTTAGTGTGCGTTTTAGAAAAATTTATAGGATCTGCAAAGCAACCAGTTTAATCATAACATTGTTGCTTTCATGCTATATTTCCACAGTTCGTCGACGAAATCCTTGTTTTCTGCAAACTGAGAGGAATATGCGAGTTTACAATCTTGAAAGTAGCTTCCTGAAAATTTCTCTATGCCCTCTGACACAGCCAAGCATATAGTTGTTTGTGCACCTTCCTTTGGTGTTTTAAGAAATATCAAAGCAACAGGCATAATCATCTCAAACACTTTTTGCAGGTATGGATGCTGGTCAAAGAAGTATCGGAACATATCAGTACATGTTAATCCTGGAGTTAGGGAGTATGAAGTAACATTGTCAACAGAGTGTCGTTGACTAAGTTCCTTTGCATGTGCAATGTTAGCCAGCTTTGAGAATCCATAAGCACCCAAATTGCTGTAAAATGTTTCATTCTCTAGATTATGTAAGTCGTTGGGGGAACTCCACAAATGGAGTTTGGAGGACACAATAATAACTCTGCTTGGTGCAGACTTCTTCAGCAAGTCCAGAAGTAGTTCGGTTAGTAGGAAATGTCCAAGATGATTAACTTGGAGGTGTTCCTCATAACCATCTTCTGTTCTTTGTGGGGATGGTCCGCCGAGAAAAACTCCAGCATTGTTTATCAAGACATCCAATCTTGTTTCTGTTTCAAGGATTCGTTTAGCAAATGCACGTACTGACTTGAAAGATGCTAAATCTAGCATTTGCAGATACACCTCTTCACTTCCACTTTCTCTTTTAATCTCTAAAACAGCCTTCTCGCCCCTCTCCCTGCTACGACAGGCAATGATGACCTTTGCACCTCTTGCTGCCAAGTCAATTGCAGTTTCTTTGCCTATTCCTGTATTGCCTCCAGTCACTATCACAGTTTTGCCATCGAGTCGCGCCTCACTCTTGCATACACCACCACTGAAGTACTGATCGGCGAAGTAGATCACTATAGCAGCTACTAATATTATCACAGATGTTTTCATTAAACCCGCCATTGTTGTTGTTTAGTTGTTCTCACCAGTGGTTCTCATGCGGGGTAGCTGAATGTCTCGTACTGAAAAGGAGATCGGCTTCATGCTTAGCGCCTTTTGAATTTGAAAGTTCACTGTATTTCGTTTTTTTAGGTCAGTGTTGCAGGCATTTTAAAAGTGAACCCAGTATTGTTTTTCAACAAAATGTTACTGCAAAGAGCGCGAAATTTATCAGTCTAGAGTGGAAAATCGCGTTATAGCTACAATGCCCGCCAAAAATGTTGAAACAGCCCAATCATCTTTCTACTAAACGTCTCCCCTCCCCCCATATACAATGGTTGGATTCCGACTGGAAAATGACAAAAAATGTATGTTGGAGCGCAAATTGTGTAACCAATGTTTAGCGACATGTTCATCTTCCTTCGCAACATTGTTTAAGGGGGGAGGGGGTTCCGTCTGCTTGAAATAGTGGAATGAACTGAAAAATATACATTTGTTACGAGTACAATCTCGGTGTTTCAACTACTTTTGGCGGGCATTGCGGAATGAAGAAGACAGGAACAAATGAAATTGGATGAAAAGAGTAGGATCAATTATCTAAGGGCAACCATATACGTTGGTAACAAAGTTATTAAAAGCCAGCCAATTTTTTAAAAGTTTTTCATGTTCGAATTGAAAGATGTTTTAGCACTAGTTGTTTAAAAAGATGTCGGTAGAGAGAAACAGCAAATTTTCATGTCGTTGCTGGTAGATTTTATTCACATACTAGTCAAGCTACTGCGTTCCCTCGCGATATGATTTTGCTTATAAAACATCAGGTTTTTATATAAATGTTGATTAAACCATAAAAATCTTTTTTGTCATTCATTATTTCTTGTTTCAAAACAACTGCAAAATAAATAGAATAACACACCACTCAGTCTTAGCACTTCATTTGAAAACAGTGCAATTCTCAAAGGTACACTGAAGTCAAAACTCCAGCTTTATAAAATCATATAATGACAACAGGGGCGAAACTTCACTATTTTCATTAGAGGGATATGAAGCTTCGATGCCCGACGAAAGGGCGTGTCATGTTTAATGGAAGAGCGTATCATGCCTGAACATCATTATTAGGGAACATCGCCCCAAGGGTTGAAATCATCGGGGACCCCGAGAGAAAGTCACTAAGTAGGTTAGGCCTTCAAACTCGGGCTGTTTTTCAAAGCCAGAAAATATGCCTCTAATTTTTCTGATGTTGGCTATAAACATTTGCTTCCAAAAAACAAGCATTTATAAGGCCTGTCTTTTCTAAAAAAAGAAAAAAAATTTTCTTCCCTTTCTAAATATCCTAGCTATAAAGAGCATTTGAAAAAAAGATTGAAGTAGAGTCTCAATTTGATCACAGTTGAACAATAAAACACAGCTTGGAAATTTTGGAATTTAGAAACAGCTACACAGACTAAAATTTTTCAACAAAAATAGTAATCCCATAAAAGAGCTTCAATTTTATTTTCTGAGTTTGATTATATTTTCAACTTTCGGTTGCTCCGTAAGGAAGTTAAACACTTATAGACACCCAAGCAAAAAGTAAGTATCTCTGAATTCACCATTACAAAATCCCTCAAGCTTGTGCAAAGAAAACCCTTTTTGTTGCGAATATTTTCCAGGTATACCTATCATCAAAGCTCAATCTTCGTGTTTTCTTAATCATGGATATTGTTCAGTATTAGAAAAAACTCGATTTTTTTGCAATTCATATCTTAACTACAATTCCTTGATAAATGTTCTATTATTTCCCGCTCGAACTGTCAAGGAAAAATTTAGCAATCATAACAAAAGATTTTGAAAAATGCTATATTATTTTGCAAAAATATGGCCCGATTCTCCCGACCGATAAACTTGCAGCCATAAATTTGCCCGACAAGATCTGCTTTTTTGAAGATTGGGGGGGTGTAGCACCCCCTCCAATCCCCCAGCAGTTTTGCCCCTGAATGACAAACGTCTTTTTGTTTCAGATTTCAATGTTTTATCAAAATATACAGAATAACCAAAACGCTCTCGTGAATTTGAATATGACGTGTAAGAAACAGTTGATACTCTTTAAAATAAAACAAACATATATAAAAAGCATCGCAGATGTGAAAAAAATGTAAGATTTTCAGCTTACGCCGTAAGATTTCTCATTAAAATGTATAGTAATGATAATTAACAATTGATACCGAAAATAGTTCTGAGTTTGAGTTCTGCTTCGACTTTGAGCATGCTCGTTTTCAAAGCGAGGTTTCTCGCCATGCGCGCCAAATAGAAAACTGCTTTATACGAAAAAATGGCGGCGTTGAGTGGTGGAAGTTGGGAAACCAACTTTCAGTCATTTTACAACTGGAAGCAGACACTTGAAACTGAGAAGTGGAGCAAAAAATTCCGAAAAATAGATGATAACCAGGTAATGGGAGAAATTGATTTGAAATGTAATTTTAAATTGAAACTTCAATTATATCACACCACACTTAGCCAACAAATAACATATTCAGATTCATTGGACGTGTCCGCCCTCGATACTCTTTCATATTTTCTCCTGATGCAGGATTTTACTTAAAATCTAATTTTTCATTTCATTTCATTTTTCCATCAATAGCCTAGTGCAAGACAACTTGTATATTTAAGCAGCTACTGAGGAACTAACTAAAACAAACTAAATGAAGCAGTACAAATAAAAAGTAACATATGTCTAAAAGAACGTGACTATGACTACAAATAAGGCGAATAAAAAGAATTCATAAAGGTTGTACATTTTACATATACAATGTTGTACAATCTATAAAACTACATGTCGAACAAGTCTCCTTTAAATTTCCATGGTAGTTTTTGCGCCAAAAAGTAGTAGGTATTCTAAAAACATGAAACATGAATCATTCTAAAAAAGAAATTGAACTTTAGTTAGTGGATTCCTCAAACAATCAGTCCATTGTTCATTATCCTCTGTCTTGGTCTAGTCCGTACGTTTGTGCTAAAGTAAAAGTGTCAAAAAACAGCACTTAAAGTTCAATGTTCAATCTGCAAATGAAGTGCTGGATTTTTGTTAAAGGCTTGAAGCACCTGGAGATATATGCCAACTGCCTAGGCATTATACAATTTTTTTAAGAAGCCAGATAATTTTTGCAAAGCCACCATTTTTTATTTGTAGACAAGTGTTTTATGTTTTTCTTGTTTTAGCAGTGACTTTTCAGCAAAATCTAGCTTGACATCTTTCATCTATATTTCAGGAACTGAAATGGAGAACTGGAGCAGCAACTTTCTGGGCAATGGCTTTTATGCCCTTTATAGTAGGACTTCTTCATTTGACATCCAGTTTCAGAATCTTTAGCCCCTTGCTTTGGATTGAAGGTAAAATCAGTCAGTATTGATATCCTTAAAGAAATATACAAAGGAAATGAGTTGACATAGAACCCTGAGCATTAAACCCATGCAAATAATCAGCAAAGTCTATGAGGGTCACTGTGCAAATGACATTTTTTGGGTACATTTGATATGGAATATCCCTTCATACAAAATATTTACTTACATATCATATAGAGCCATAAAAAACCTTAATTCTCAAATCATTACTTCATTCTCACACAACTTCAACAATAGATATCTCTGGTGGCATAATGATGAAGAAAAGCTTATGACTGTTGCCTAGGATCTTTACTAAGTCTAAATTGATGTTTAAAATATATAAGATGCAGTTTTTGGCAATCCCACTTGCTGCCAACCATGGTGACTTGATGCCATGGTTTATTTTTCTGGGTTTTATTGCATACAGGAGTTGTCGCAACAGCTTTTTAAAGTGATTATGGTGACCCAGTATGGTGGATGAGACCAGTGAAACACATTAAAATGATGAAAAACACATAACCATTTTTTTGTCACCTTATTAGTTTCCTGCACTTTGGTTAAAAACAAACAAAAAATTGAAATCAGGCATGCAAATACAGTACAGTACAGTACAAGGAGGCATGTACCAACACACACCTTTTTCAGGAAAGCCTGGTATGTACTGATTAACAGTACCAACGTTTAAAGGGATTTTGTGGCATTCAACCTTATTTGCACACTGGGATAATGGTGGAAGGTGGTCTTGTGCTGCAATAAACTCAATTGTGTTTTCTTGACATGTAAACTGAACAAGTAATTCCACTTTAGTACAAATTTCAATGCAAAAATTGGTCTACGCCAGGGAAATGAAGCTTGTTAAATCAAAGACAAAGATATTTTGTTTTATCTTGGTGATTTTAGATAAAATTAGACCCTTCCAAACAAAATGATTACTCAAAAATTGTCCTGAAAACTTTTAAAAAAATTTTCTGCTCATAATTTACATCAATAAGGTAGGTTTTCGGTGTTATTTCTACTAACTGTGCTCTGCAAGTTTGGTGCATCCTATCTGTTAACATGGACTTCATTTTATTTGGCATGACCATCCTTTTTCAAATGAAATATAGTGATAAGACTGAAAAAGGAACCTTAATTATTTGTTTCCTCCCATAAACATACAAATACAAAAGTTTCCCATAATGAGCATAAATATAAAAAAATTCTTATTCCATATTGGTTTTCCTATTCAGTGCTTGTTGTTTAGTAATGCTTGTAGTAGTAGTAGTGCTTGTTAGTGCTTGAATTAGCATTCTGCCATTCAGGATATCCTTTATTACACAACCCTTAAAGGGATTGGTTTTAAGAGCTTTTTTTCTATTGCTAAAGTTAATGCAACTGTTTTTCTTTCAGATGCTATCACTAAAGTGCTCTCAGGCTGGTTCCTTGCTTCTGTACTAGTGATCCAAGTTTTATGCATCCCTCTACTGCTTGTCCATTTGAAATGCACAAAGGGTAAGTTGCAATGCAAAAGTCACCATTTATGCCCTGACACTTATGCCCTGAATCAAAGTTCTTCAATAAGTCATGTAAATAAGTTCTGATTTATGACCAATCCTATAACTATTATGCTTAGAATATTTAATTCTTGTTTTAGTTTTAGGTCAAATGCAAATTTTACATAATGGCTACCTCTTTCAAAACCATTTGAACAAAGTGGGATTGTCCGTCTTTGCAGCTTAATGTGAATAAGCACCCTATTAGATATTTCAAATTCAATCTGCAAGTTACCTGATGTACTTATTGCAAATGAAACTCTTAACAACCACTTAGAACTCTTGTTTTTCACAAACCAAACCATCAATTTAATCTGGATCTTTTTAGTGTCAATCTAGAAGGTCTAAGTCTTTATTAATATGATTATTGTTAGTGTGTAGCTGGCCTTTTCATGGAAATTGTTACAATATCAAGTGAGGGACCAGGGTGACTATCTGCTTGAAACGAAAAGACATGTGTTTAGCTACACACCTCTATCAAAAATTATGTTTTCTTTTTAATTACAAGTTTGATGGTCTCTTTCAGTTCAAGTTGTTCCTTTGGAGACTAGATGGAAGCAAATTCTGTTCATTTTGCACCCAAGACAGTTGATCTGGATATTGGCTATAGCCACAGACTGCCTCATTCTAACAATAATCTTCATGAGTTTGATATATGACAGCATTGCAACAAACCTATGTAAAAATGAGTATGTTATTTTGTCTCTTATTTTGCGTTTATAATCCAGACCCTTTATAATTTCATTAATCTTTACTTAAAAATGATATAAACATTTCATAAGAAATAATAAATAATATTTCAACTTGATTTTGTGTACTAGAACAGATAGAACCAAAGTTTTACTTTTGGGCACTAGCTTTTTCATATTTTCATTGGGCTCAAAAAGATAATTTTGAAAATGCATATTTGAAGAACATGTGGTCCATCCAATATTTTGAATGTAAATCCATCCGTTTCTAAGAGTATAAGTAAATTGATATAAATGGATATCAATTTACGCATCACAAATCCATGGAAGTTCAGTTTTTAGGGCAATTCTATTGATATTCTTAGGGCATGTATTTTTTATTTAATTTGATAGAAATTGTAAAATGAATATTTATGCTTGATTTCAGGAAATTAAGTTATAAGGGGTTTGCAATAGTTTATGGTTGAATAATGACTTTTCTCTAAAACAAGTCTTCCCAACCTGACTCTATTATAAACCTGGTACTTGCTGCACTGTTTGCAGCATTAAATTTGCTTTACGTTGACATATTTTTATCCAAGAATCTATAGTCTGTAAAAATTGCTTATAAGCTTGCAATCCCATAAATGTTTAATTGGCAACGATCTTAGAATTGCAAGCAAATCTTTTGCTCAAACTGTGACCTTCTAAAGAAACTGAGTTACTAAATCAAAAATGGCGCTTTCCACTAATTTTTGATCATGTATTTTCAGATCTAAGTGCATCAGTCTTTTCAGAAATTCTATGCTTTTCTATGGTGTTCTTTGTGTAAGTATGGATCTTGTTTGTTTTGCTCATGTTTTTTCTCTTGTTCTACTATTCCTAAAATCAATTGGTTAAACAGGTAAATGTGATACATGCCAGTTTTTACATCTTTAGTTGGAATGCATAGATAAATATTTATATGTTATAAGATTTTCATATTAAGTTTGATATTTTTCATAATTTTTATCGAGATAAACCAACTGCAAAACTGCCAATTGCAGATAAAAGGCCCTTTTGCTTTCAGGCTCATGTTATTCAATCGTTTCATTTCCTGAGTAATTTTGTGATTTCAGAAAACTCTTTTTACTTGTCTGCCGATATTTTCCTAGAATCTTAAATGACTTTATATTTCAAATGATATAACTTAGGCCTAAAGCAATACATTATGAACTCATTTATTGGGTAAATATTAGGCGCTTCAATCTATATTAGGCGCTTCAATATTAGGCGTATCAACTATCCCAGCTTCTGTATCTAGCCCTACATGCGCTGCATACCATGGTCAGTTTTTTACCAAAAGACCTGGTATGTGATATGTGGATTTATTTTTTAAATTTGCTATTATTTTCTTATTATCCATTACCTTTCTAGGGTGTCAGGTACGGAATTGTGTATTTCAAAGATAGCAACTATGTGATACAATTTCCAGTCATTCAAGTAAGTGGTTTATGTTCTTTTTATATTTAATTATTGCTGTTTTGATTTATTTAGAGATTGATTTAATATGCACACAACGCTGCATTTATACGTTAATAAAAATTTTGCCAAAGTTTTTTTCGCAGCTATTTTTATTTTCTTTGCTGTTTTCAAATGCTCATTATCTAGTGCTGTTTCATATGTTCTTCTAGTCTAGGGAATATTTTAATTTCTTTCCACATTTTAATTTTCATAGCTCATATCTTTGCTATAGTTAGCAATGTTTTCATAGCTCATATCTTTGCTACAGTCAAAAATGTTTCTGTTTAAAAGTAAAATCTCTCACCATATCTTGCCTTCTTAGCAAAAAGTAATTTCAATTTACAAATGAAGATTTTACGCAAGATCATATTGAATAGTATTATATTGAAAAGCTCCTTTCTTACGAGTAGAGCTGATTGCTCCTTTCATCATTTCCAGGAAAAAAGGTTTTTTAGAACGCGAGCAATCCTTCCTAGCTGCTTCAAGAACTCTCTAATTAGTGCAGTTCAGGTGATTTTTTTGCTACATTTTTTTTATTCATTTACCTTTTTGTCAATTAATTTGAGAGACACTTTCAGACCTTTAGTTTTCATGAAATCAGAAAACGTCAATTGGCAAGGTTTCTAGTGAGCTAATACTCTCAGGCACTACATGAGCAATACCTTATAGCAAGCAATATTCTTGAAAAAAGTACAAGTAAGGTGTTTAGGCAAGATGTGTATACTTGGAAAGTGTTTGCTTAAACTACATAGTTAACTTATTTTAATGTTGTGTATAGTGAACAAAATGCAATGTTCAGTTTGATTATAAAAATTTCCTTAGTGGAAAAATCCAAAGAAATGGTGGTAATAAAGCCAACATTATTCATGAAATAAAATCAGGATGTTTTTATTTTCACTACTAGATCTATATTTATGAGACAGTGATGCCAAAAATATTTTTAGATTACGTCACGATATTGTATTAACCCCTTATTTTGGTTTATTTTCCGATAGTACTTCCCAGTAGACACTATTGGACAAACTTCTTGTCGTGTCAATCGCATCAAGCTTGCTTCTTTAGGGTTTGAAAGCAGAGAATCGATTTTCAACCAAATCACTTGTTTTGCTGTTAGGGAGTGCCCATTATTGAAAGGTTATATTAACGGGGGTTTCACTGTATTTGTCTTGTTAGACATGGTTTTGTATTTCAATTTTTGGAGCGGCTGTTTGCATTATTCCTAGTTTGATATCTTGTGTCATTTCTCTGTTTGGCTAGTGTCTTGGAGTATCCTTTTGTTCTTATTGTCATGCAATCCAGACATCAGCAGCCAAATTTTCCACTGCATTATAATAGCTTCCTTTCTCATTCATTTTTGAAGGCCTTGCTTCGTTACCCAGCATGATCAGAAGTATCTTGAATCTCCTATTTGCTCTTTATTATTTTGTTGTTTATTTGTTCTAGTCTCTCAAAGTCTTCTACATTTTGAATATACTAGTTGGTAAGTTTAGAATTTACCTCAAAGTTTCTTAAATGCTAAGATTTCGAGTTACATCTTAAATAGTTCTCAGTATAAATTTCTATTTTAATTGGTTATTTTGGCTTGTCGTTAAGTTGCATTTTTGATAATATTTCGTCCATCAAACCATTCAGCGGCGTCGCCACGGGGTGGACTGTCCACCGCAGTTTTTCCAGTGGTCAATTTTCTACGTTCTCGAATTCCGTTGAAAAATTTTTAGGGAAAGGTTGATCAGATCGATTTCGATTGTGGCTGGAAATGTTGGTTTTCCCAAATTTTTAAAATTATGGATCAGAAATGCTAAAAAAGGCGTGTCCCACGTTTTCCGAGAGTTTGAAGGGTGTGACCGTGAACTTTTTTTGTCCACCACAGATTTTTCGAGCTGGCGACGCCACTAAGACAATTTCCTCTTGAAGCCCTGTGTTTTCCTCTCCTCCAGACTGTTACGTTCATTAGATCCGCAGATATTTTAGCCTCTTTGTGCAAAATTTATAAGCAGCTCAACAAATTTTCATTTTAGGCCTCAGTTTTGGTCTTCTCATTAACGTCTTCTCTGGATATGAAAGCATGTAAGTGGCCAAAAAATCCTGCTAAATCATACTTTGCTAACTGTTTTGAACGAGTCTTTCTGTAAATCCTATTGATAGAACTGTACCGCCAGTGTGTTTTCATGGTTTTTTGCTCTTTTCACGTGAATCCTATCACGGCTATTTAATTGTTAGAGCTTCGACAAACAAGCTTTAAGAGGTTTTTAAGTTCTGACTTTTCGGCATAAATTACTTTTGATGACAGAAATAGTCCGACCAAGATAAAGAGAAATCTAATTTTAGGATAGTTTTGGAAATTTTTCAAATCTATTACAGTTTTTCTGTCAAATAAATCAATAATGGTTTCTCTTGTTAGCATTAACTACAGTTAAATCCCTTTTGGTCAGACCTTCAAAGGGGATAAGGAAATGGTTCGACTTAGCGAAAGTTCGACTTGTCCAAGGTACGACTTGAGCGAAGCTTTTTGACACGAATAAGGTAGGGAAATCCAAGGGAATTGCAGATGAAAATCAGAGTAATCCGGGGTACAACTTAATGGGGCTTTTAGTAGTGTGCAGGGGCGGACACTTGGTCAAATATTGGGGGGCAAGCCTATTGTTTTAATAAGATGATGTCACATTTCCCATTGTTTTAGAGCAAAAGACCATTGTCCTCTAATGTATTGGGGGTTGCCCCCCTCGTCCCCCAAGTGTCTGCCACTGATAGTGTGTTATAGAATAAAGTACTGAATATACTGCCCAGTGAATATCATTAAAATTTCTAAAAATTGTTTTTAGGTACTCATTCGCCCTGAATGCCCTTTCAATAATGAATTTTTCATTTGTGTGGCTTTGTATGGTTATTGGTACAGCAATAGCAATGATATTAAACATCGCCGAGTGCTTGTTCAAGATCTTTATTACCCAGGTAATTGTCATCCTTCATTAGTATTTTCTCGTCGATGATGATCCCCTTAATGTAAGTCGAATTTTTAAAATATTTATTAGGCTTGTAAACGATGATGCCTATTTGTTGTATCCTCACCATAACAAAACCTCGCTATTGGTAGTGCAGTTATTTTCGCTTTATCTAATGACCACAGTATCTATGTTAAGCTTAGAAGGTCCCCTTTCTGAAATTTGTTAATTTTTTATGTAAAATTAGTACTCGGATCGTTATGGTGTTTGATCACAAAATATCGCAAGATATCGTTGTGGTGTTTAATCACAAAATATCACAAAATATCGCAAAATATCGTTATGGTGTTTAATCACAAAATATCACAAAATATCGCAAAATATCGTTATGGTGTTTAATCACAAAATATCGCAAAATATCGTAATCTGGAGATATAGCTGTATGATGACAGCTAAATGATTTAACAACAGATAATAAAGAATTTGATTTTGATCCATAAATTTGTGATATAAAAGCTCATATGTCTTTTATCCCAGTTTATAAGTTAATAAAAGCAAAGTACAACTTTCAGTTTTCGTCAGTTGAAATACAACATTAAGGAAAAAGTTTCACCTGTTGTATCTATTAATTATCAAGACGAAATTCTTGTCCCTTCTGCAACACATTCAACATGTAGAAAGTTTCCTAACATTGCCAAGAGTTTCGCAACGGCTTGGCGGTTAAGATCTCTTACAAAAATGCGCGTAGAAACTTTTCTTTTTTTGTAAACCTAAAAGTTTTTCTGTTTTCTTTCGTGTCAAGATCCAAACCTGTTTCAAAAAATATAATTGCCTCATATTTTTTTAGTCATATTCATTCTTGTTGGAAAAAGATTTCATCAGTGATCATCGGTTGCTGCTTCAAGAAGCGTTGTTGTCAAATAACCAAGTTCTTAAAGTAAGTGTTCAAGAATTTCTGTATATGAGTAAGTGTTAAAGGGTTTGTGTATATAAAGTCGCGTTTTTGATCGACCCAAAGGCGGTGGAACCATCTTGGCTCAAGTGGTGTCTAGTGAAAAGCTTGTCTAGACATTTTTATGGCAGAGGATGTTAATTATGATAACAATGTGACTGCTGGTTTTTCAAATCTAAAACATTTCAGGATTTTATCTTATATTCTTATTTATATTTCCTAGCACCAAATTTCTTTCTGAACTGATTTATTAAGTTCTGATTCAGACCTTTACATGAATAAAAGATAACAACAGAGCCATTAACTGCATCGTGTAAATGTCAAAAAATCCAAACTCTTGTTTAGGAGTTCAAAAATGGCCGCCTGGTGTATGGTGCTGAATAGATACGGTTCTGTTGTGATTTTGGATTCTAAAGCATCGTCCCACTAGTGTCAAATTGCCTTTGAAGTTTTAACTTGCAAAATATTATGTTCCCTACCTTGCATTGTTTTACCTAAACGGAATTATTTAATGACAAATCAGCCAGCCTCTCTTATACCCGCACAGATTTCGAAGATATTTTGCGATGTTGTACTAACTTGATAATAATAGCTGCTATCCTCAATTATGAAGCAATTAGAAAGATAATAATGTAACAGTGGTTAAAATAGGCTAATAACTAAACATGATTACATAAACATATCAACGACCAAAATTCACTCGCTATTATTTAAAAATACCTAGGGTCATTTGAGAATATCTTCTCTCTGCTATGCTTTTCATGTTAATTTCTTCACTTCCCGCAGATGGAATAACTTACTTGAAATTTTCATCTACAGCATCTTGGTTTTCTCGATCTTTGCCACATCGGAAAATTTGATGAAAAGCGCAGGAGATCTATTTTTGCAATTTCTTTACCAGGTAAACCAAATGCTTATTTGTTATAAATACGAATTTTCTCATTCTTTTTTGTTTGTTTTTTGGTTTTGTATTGTAATACCTTGATATTATTTTCAGTTGATCAATAGATGTCATCTTCTTCACTTATTTACACACACGTACGATCTTTTGAATTAGTTTTAAACGTTTCCAAACAGGAGGCCATCCTGAGAACTGGAATCTGGTCCTATCCCAGTACCTAACAGCAATCGAGGAATCAGTCAAAAAGTTTCATGAAGCTTACTCACAGGAAGTGAAAATTAGGCAGACAAATGTTAAATCGCCATTTCTGGCAAGTCCTTCTCCTTCAAGTGTGCCAGGTTTGTTTCTATATTCCAATTTAGTATTTTCTTTTAAAAAACCTATCTAATATCCCTTACACTTCCGCAACAAAACACTTTCTCTTCTTCAAGTTGAAATTGTGTTTCTCGTTTTGACATTTACATTTTATTCATTTACAGCTGTTACTTCTCCAAAGACATTTCCATCGACAAAAACTGCTTCTCTCTTCTCACCAGTGAAATATTGGGACTCAACCGAAGGTAAGATCATTGATATTTTCTGCTACTGTCTGGTTTCTGATCCACCATTTAAAATCCTGATAGACAGAAAGTTTCTAGGATGCTTCGAAATTTTAACGATTTTGCATTTATGAGTAACAGTTATGATATTCTTTCAGAAGTAATGGCTTTAAATAATCAGAAGTAGTGACTTTAAATAGCTAAGTATTCAAATGTGACTCCTTTGTAGAACTTATTACCTTTGTCATGTAATTTAACTGAACTAAATCTAGTAAAGATAATCACAGTTTGTTGATAGATGAAATAAGGCTCGATGCTGTATGAATCTATTCGTATTTGTCACAGATGTTTCAGAGATAAACAAGAAACCAAGAGCTGGATACAAAGACCACAAGGTTTGTCAATATTCGGTGCTAAGAAGAATTAGATTTGACCGTAAAAATTTGCCAGATATTAGTGGCAATGCAATTTGTGGATAACATTCAGAGAATTACACTAGACTGGGAGAGAAAGGATAAATTTTGTCATTTGAATTTGCAATTTTGATTTAAAAAGCAATTTGTAAACAAAGATCAAGGGATGAAAAACTTAAAAATAATTTCAGGATTTCGGTGGTTGAATAATGTGCGATGTAATATAAAAATAAGTATTTTTCTGCCTTCACTTGCAGTATTTCTAATTTCTTTTTTAAACTTCTTTTTTTCTTCAATTACCTTTAATTCTACTGTTTTATTATACGTGTTACTTTATTGTCAAACTGATTTTGTATGTATATCTTCTATATTGTAACATTTTGTTGACATTTGATATGTTACTTCAAGTGCAGTTTGTATTGCTTTTAGCAAATTTTGACGCAAAAGAAGGCAACCTTACTGTCATGGCTGTTTGAAGAGGTTTTTTGATTGCTAAATTTCTTTCATTTTTATTTGCTAAGTTTCTTTCATTTTTATTTGCTAAATTTCTTTCTATTCTAATTGCTAAATTTCTTTCTATTTTAATTGCTAAATTTCTTTCATTTTTGATTGCTAAATTTCTTTCTATTTTAATTGCTAAATTTCTTTCTATTTTAATTGCTAAATTTCTTTCATTTTTGATTGCTAAATTTCTTTCATTTTTAATTGCTAAATTTCTTTCATTTTTATTTGCTAAATTTTAGTACCCAAGGTGTTGCCAGAGCCGTATTGAAAGCATCAAACGATCCCACAGTCGATCGTTTTAGTTTTTTTCCAGTTTTATTGAGGGTTTTTTCTAGCACGTTTTCATGTATATACCTACCTTTTTTTCGTCACATGACCCAGTAAGTCTAGATCAATGATACCTCTAGGCCTGGGCAGAAAGAAATTATACTAGATCATTTAGGGGAATCTTTTCCTTATGCTAAGTATGCAGATTGCAAGTATTTGGTCCATTCCTTCCATTCGCAGGGTTTTTCCAGGTGCTATTTGGCTTCAAATTGTAACTCCATTCATAAAAGAAAGTAACGGATTTCTTAAACAAAATGAAAAAAGTTCAAACCAAATAATTAGTTAACTATGTTTAGATAACGTTCAAGACTATGTATTTCATCTTTATTCTTAAAGATCATCTATTGTTTTGTATAGGTTTAATTTGACCAAAAATCGTACTGAAGAACTTCTTTTTGGTTTATTCTGTGGCCTTGTATGGGTCTTCTACTTCTGATATATAAAGTTGCCAATATCATTTTTTTCCAATTGCCTTTAATTTTTAGTAGCCTTTTGTATAAGATTCAAATGATTGAATTGTTATTTATAGTTTTTTTATCTCATGGCTAAACTGACATTCTAAGTTAAAAACAGTTTTACTTGTGTTCAAAAGTATGGTATTTTGTTATTTTACTATGTTATTTTATTCACTATTTTATTCATTTACCCACTATGTTATTTTATTCAGTGTTTTTTATTTTATATTTTGTTTCTGATTTTTGACATTTAACATTGTTTCTATTTAAAACGGTAATTTTTACCAGGAAAAATATTTAATCATTTATGATATTTCATCATCACCTTAATTGCTTTGTCCAATTATTTACAGCGTCCCGATTACAAAAAAGAGTCCCTTTTTCAAGATCAACAATTAGTTCTGTGGGCCCTTGAAGGTGACAAAAGTTTTGATCTTTTCTTTTGATTACTTCAATAGAAATCAGTTACTCGAGTCATTGAACCGTTTTAAATGCACACAATTTATATTGTTACATATTCAGAATTTCTTTTAGTTTATCCTTTTACTTGGAGGATTTTTGTTTTCTATGGCTTTAACAGAATTTTTGTTTTCTATGAAGGATTTTTCTACGTCTGCTTCACCAATGCATGGAACCAAGCTTATAGTTATTTTCTAAAGTTATAAAACGGTACAGTCAATGTAATTTAGGCTTCTAATTCGGGCTTCATTTCGGGCCAGTAATTCGGGCTTCTAAATAAAGATCAAATTTTCCAATTTCACAAAAATTCCGTTTATCCAAAGCTTGTCTTTCAGGATTCAGTATGAGTGACCATTTTTATCCGAATTAAGAAAAACCGAGTTATCACTCAGTCGAGTTATTGGGCGTAGACTTTGTAAATATATTCACGATATGTAATATGCTGTTTAGTTTTGAGATTTTAATAAGATTACCTAAAGGGTTTTGATGAGAAAAGCGATCCCTGTTGTCGATACATTGTCGATTTCCGGTTCGCAACAACAGGTGTACTCATTCATTCCACTTTTGCTTGCGATAAACATGTCAGCTTCACCAGTTTCTTTACCAATAATGACAGCGCTTTTATTGATCCTCTCATAGCATTTCAAGGCTTTTTATATGACCTCCACAACCGTCTCAATGATCATAATATTTCTTTTCAATATTTTCAAATCACTAAGAATACTTTTAATTAAGGACTATCTGTGTTCTGTTTCTGCCCCGCCCCTGAGACAGTAAATGAAAATATTTTCAAGATACTTCATAGCTGTTAGTTGTTGGTTCATAATCGCTGGTACTCCATCAAAGAGTCCTAGCCGCGGGTTTTTTAAAGCATTAACAGAAAGGGCAAAACTGTTGAATTCATAAGTCTTAGAAGCCCAAGAAAAATCCTGTGATACGTGCGTATGTGTTTGAGAATTTAAGCCCGATAGTCTGCATTCGAATTCTCGCTGATCACATGCTACATCGAATCAGCAGAATCGCTAGATTTTGTAACTTCAGCCGCGAGAATCTCAAGATGCGTTCATATCGTGACGAAACAATCATCAGAATGCTGGCAAGTAAATTATATGGAGAGGAGCAGAGCTGTGAAGTGGCCCGACAAATCACCTAGGAAGTTTTGGGCACTTATTAGACCACGAAGGAGGCCTAGAGGTTCAGACATTAACTGTTAACTGTCAACTGAAAACTGTTAAAAACTTGTGCTTTGAAGTTAAAATAATGACCTGAAGTACTGTGTGTAACCCTGCACAAAAGATTATGAGATAGGATTTCTTGGAACACCAAAAGACTTGATTATTTCATTTTGGCTCTTAAACACATCTCCCTAGAAAAATGTTGCTTGTTTTGACAAAAATCATACAAATCGTATGCAAATATACTTCCCATTTTCGTGCATCATTTTGTAGTCCACTAACGATGTTCCATGGAGGAGAAGAAAATGTCTGAATTCGTCCTTGAAAACATACATTAGCATGCCAGAACATTTGGCATTTATTGTAGCGTTACGCTTAACAGAATAATGTTCTAAGATAAGCATTTTCATCACTTACCCTGGCATCGGCATCGCAGCATTCCCATCATTCTATGCGTGACATTTCGGAAAAGAGGAGGGTCAGATCACCAAATCGTGTTATGTTGATTTTATAAGTAGAGTTTTTTGAATTTTTGAATTTGGACAACATAACCGAGAGGCTGTCATGAAATACCGCTTTCAATGCAAACCAGCTAACTTTGTTACACATTGCCTGCGATATGGCCACTTGAGCACAGAAACTTTTTGTATCATATCAATGTAATTGGATTTTTGTTTTCAAATAAATGAACCTGCTCCATATCTCAACGAAGCTTTATATATATTTAACCTATTTTGGTCTTAAGAGGTACTCGCACTTCTATTGTATTAACATATGCCAAAACAACTTTTATTGTGTTGATTATATCTTTGTTTATTGCAGCAAGATTAAACGCATTTAACTGATACATTCAGAAAATATACTGATTTTCAATGTATCCTGCTTAAAAACGTCACTAACCCAATAACACGATTAGATAAACTTGAAGATTCTCTATAAAAGAAAAGGGAACTTACCGTAAGATTCCGAATATAGTCCCCAAATGCCTTTTCCTTGAGTCGATGTGGGCTTTTCTAGCTTCAGCATTTGCCTTTCCTGTGATTTTCTGACATATACCCTTCTTTCCACAATGGTTGCATAAATTTATCAGAAACACGACCGATCTTTTCATTTAGGCTTGAATAACTGATTTTCTTTTTCACCTGACATTAAGTCAATCCAATTTATAGTCCACCCCCCCCCCGGATATAGTCCCCCAACATTTAAGCTTCCCAAAATAGCCTTTAAACCTCTATACGCCGTGAGCTTATATTCAAAATTTTACGTTATAAGAAAGAAAGAGAGACAAAAGGCACATGCAGAACGCTGATTTAGGTTATTAATCTCTTTGTTATTCTACAAACGCTTTGTTTTTTAGCAAGTTTGACATATATTTTTTTAAGTAAGGTAATTATAGCACGGACAAAGCAGGTATACCAGCTCTTCAGGAGCTGACAAGGACCTGAGGATAATTTTTCGAGGTTCCTTGCCGAAAGGAAAGTAGTAGCTTGTCGATGTTTCGGTACATCCGAGTTTAAAGGCTGCAGGTTTTGGCGGAAAATTTGAAAACAGAACTAATTAGTACCCAACTGGTTCAAATTATAATAATCGAATGATAAGCCAACTTTATAGGAAATACACGCTGAGGTTGGTCAATTATCTTAATTAATATTGATGCAAATCACTTGAGATTTTCACGCTGTATTCAAATTACTCGCAGGCACGTTTTAGCGTCAAAGTTTTTATAGTAGCAGATGGTACAGGCTCATGTGCAAGGGTTACACAAAAATTGTTTCTGTTCAGGTTAGATTAGTGATAGTTTGGATCATAATCTATGTTTAGGTGTAGCGGAAAAATATTTTAAAAAGAGGCAATTTTTAACCAAGTCGAATACAGCATAATTATTCTTTTTCCAAATCATTATGTAATCATTATTTGGTACTGTTTTCCACTTTGTGTATCGTTACTGAACTCTTTTATTTTGACCTCAAGTTTATTTTCACTTCAAGGTCTTTCAACACTAATAACGGCATCATTTAGTGAGGATGCATATGGTGTTGTTCAGAGGGTAAGAAATGATTTTAAAAAGTTCATTATTATCCTAAAATTGGACTCGAAACCTTATAATTTAATAACTTCACGCCAGGAATCATAGGTGTTTTGAAAAGTCCTTTAGAGAACTTTAGAGACCTAAAATTTTTAAACAAAACATGTTTGTCGAGATATCACGCATGATGAGATTTCAGGTTTCAGAGAAGTGTATTTTGCATTTTCAGTTATCTAGTGAACTTGATTCTACAGGATAATTTAAAGGCGATTTTTATTAGTGCTGTTGAAGTTGTTGCTTTTGTTGATGCTGATTTTATAAGTCAACGAACTTCCCTGTGATCACTCTCTGTCCGTCAATTTTTGTACGAACAAATACTTGAAACGATATTTTAATTATAATGTTGAATTCCTTTAAACACTTCTTTATTTGCGAATAATACCAGATTTTCGTCCAAATTTATTGTCATTCGGGTGCAATTTCGATTCAAAACACGTCAAATTACTGGCCAAAAGAAAACCATAAATCCAATCATAGCACTTCTTAAAGGCTTAAACCTGAGATTTTTGGCTTCCTTATAAGTTTGGCAGGCGTCTAACTTTCATTTTGGACAAAATAGATATCTCCTTTATAAAAAATGATGTCTGCACTAAATATTCCCTCCTATGGTAGCCCTTGATTGGCCCAACATTGAGAATCTATTTACTGCATTCAGTATGACAGGTGAAGGGAATATTTACAATTAATCGGGACTTCAAGAGCTAGATTTACACCTATATGGGTTCTCGCCTGACTGATACGACAAATGACTTTGATCCCTGTGTTACCGAACGAAGAACTATAACCCTCAGAGCCATGCTTCGATTTCGATTTCCTATGCAGGAAAGCATACAACCACTCTGTTTTGTCGAAAATTAGGCTAGCTATAAATACACTCAACTGGACACTGCAACACAAGAATGGCATAGACGTTTTTCTTGGTATCCCAGATCCTAGGCAATATTTGTTCATATGTGTGTTAACCCCAAGTTTTCATATGCCACAGAACAGAAATATGAGCTGTGTATAGTTAAAAACCAATTAATTTAAAGATAATAAAGCACATATGATCTAAAACTCAGTAAATATTACATCCGTAAATGCTTATAAACAATTATTTCCTGCCTAGAAATATCGAACTTTATCAACTTCAGACTATATAAGCCTGAACCAGGTTAAAACACCAGGTACCCCCGTTGACAGAATACTCAACTGTTATGTCTTACATTATTTGCTTTTTTCTAGATGCTACCAGATATCTTGATTATCCTCATGTCCTATCAAGAGGTTTGTTTTACTCACTGAATGGCCTTTTAGAGCACTATATTTAAAGTTGTATTTGATCCAAGCTCTTAGAACCCAGAAGCGAATGTTTTCAAAACTTATTCAGTAGCTCTCTTGAATAAAAGAGGCTTAAGGTACTGAAACTTGCTACAAAAATTGCTGCATAATTGCAAAACTACTTTGAAGTGATATGGTCTATCTTTTTCATTAGGTCTATACTTTTCCTACACAAAGCTATGTCCCCCTGCATCTATGTTGCGAATGATTTTAAGAATATGATATCATAAAAATCTGTTTAGGGATTTTTGAATTTTGACAAAGTAACCTGGAACAGCGCCTCTATTTTATCTCTCCCAATTGCTGATTTTGCACTTTTAGAGGTATTTAATGGTGCTCTTTAAAGGTAATGCGGTCAAAAGTAGAAAATTCTTAGATGGTTATGACGTCACACTTTAGTTCTCCAGTTTATTACTGACGTCTGTAATCTTACGTTCTCAATAAACAGCCAACTTCCACCCACTTCAGTCTCAATAAGCGGCCTTTCCTAATAAGATTTTTCTTTAAATAAAATAACTTCTTCATAAAGCATTGTGTCGAGCATTTAGCAAGATTGAAAAGCCGATCGTTCAATTGCTGCGCTTGAAAAAGACTTCCTTATTGGTCTGTGTAGTGAAGTTGAATGAAAATATCGAAATATATGAATAAATCCAGAACGGATGCATTTGGCAACAAGAAACCTTGAGGATAAGAACCCCTCCAAAAGAACCCTGAAATCTGTATTTTCTCAAGTTACAATATACATGAAATAAAAAGAAGTTATGCAAGCCATCTACAACAGTTTGCCAAATTACGGAGGGGGGTTGGGGGGGGGGTGATGGTTAGCCCTATGGTTATTAAGTCCCCTGTACTTTATTCTGTCTACAAAAGAGGATCGTTAGATATTTTTAAGCTTGCAGAATCATTTTACATAAAGCACTGTTTGTTATGCATTTGTATATTTTATTGGCTTTTCTATATTTTTCAAAAAAACATTCTCTTTCATTCAGAATTCTTCTGGAACTCCTTATAAATTTTGTTCCCTTCTTGAGCTTCCATGATCTGCTGAATTTAATCTTTTCGCTAAATGATTATTCACCAGATAACTCTGCAAATTCGATGCATCAATCAAATTTCTTCCTCTTCCTTATTTGTACCTAAACTCTATGACAGTTTTACTAACTTGCACCGTGCATGTTTAAATCTACACCCTTGCAGTCATTACAACCCCCCCCCCTCTTTAATAGGATCATGATATACAGTATTATCTCCCAGAAGCTTTATCTTTTCAAAAGTCAATAAAGCACCATGTTCGACACTTTTTTTCTTGCAGACAATTGAAAAGTTCTTGCAGACTTCTATCGCTGATGACAAAATGCAAGTAAATAAACTCAAAGATTTCCAAAAGAAGAAGGCGGCGACAGGCATAGCACAGTCATACAAACTAGGTAATCCTCTGTAACCATAAGCTCTACTATTTCTATAATTATTCGTATTTTCATTGGTTTTCTTCTATGAGTCTTTCGCATATCATGTAATTAAAATTCTCATGTAATTTACCTCAACCAAAAAAGTTTCTGAAATGAATTTTAGATGTTAATTGTCTTTGATTTGGTGTCTCTTCAACAAGGAGATTTATGACGTCACATAAACTTCGATTTCTGAGAGATGTTGTTAATGGAGAGTGTCAATTCTTTGCAGTGCTTGAACTATCGCTTACATTTTGTTTTCTCGTCTTTTCTTTGATATATCTGTACTTAAGTTAAACTGTGACGTCACATTAACTCTGATCCCCAGGTCATTGATTTAAATCTGTGTGTTAGTATGTGGGGGTGGACAGGCATAATTATTTTACAGTTCTTTAGAAGTTCCACCGTTTGCACCTTGCATAAAGCTATGTCTCTTAATGCGCCAGGACTACTAGACGCCCCTTTTTACAGTGACTTTTTTTATTCTCCTAGCCGTTCAAACTGCAATTTACAGAATTACTTCGAAATTTGGATGTCATCTAGAGTGAGTTAAGACAAAATCGACTTCATTTATTACTTTTTTCATTGCCGGTTTTTACTTCTCGTTAACAATCTCCTCAAGATCCTGTATTACTTCATTTTTGCATGTTTTTCACTGTCCTTTTTCCAATAACCTTCGAACTGAACGAAATAGCGTATTTATGGTTTTCATATTTATAAGATTTTTGGAAAGGTTCAACAGCTTGCCAAGTCGCCTTTCTTCAACCTGTTTCTTGATGTCATACAACTCAGATATTTCTGCCTATTTAATTGGCTTTTTCCATATTATTCATAAAAAACAAGCTCTTTTATACGGAATTCTACTGGAAACTCTAGAATATAATTTAAGTCTGCTTTAAAATTCAAAATACGTTAATGGTTTTAGAAAGGAATTTGTTTCAAAACAGCGTAATGTTTTAGATAAGTTTAGTTTCTTAATCTCCTTGTAAGAATTGTGCTTCCACTATCGATAATCGCTTGAAATTTGCTAATCCTTCCCAGCATACGCATGTGAACTGCCGGTAACGGCAAAGTGATTTGCGAAAGATTCGATTAATATTCAAACACACATGGACGACTTATCAACCAATAAAGTAGTGTGGATTTTTTGGATTGTGAGTTTCCTGGCATTAGCAAAGGTTTTTCCATGTCACGTTGGGCTTTTTGAAAACATCTTTTTGTTCATATCAGTCTACAGTCAAACCCACGCTTATAAATCCAGAAAAATCTTAACACAAAGATTTTCCCTAATTATGTTGACAAATTTTGCTAGGATAGCTGTAAATGAATCAGACATGTTTGTAATATTTTTTGGGCTAATAGGAGGGGTGAACCTTAAGGACCCCTTTGGCGCCCCCTCCCCACAATCTCAGGAACATGGCAAATACCCATTCTTCTCAAAGTCGTAAGTGACCGTGTGAGGTTTTTGCCTGCCCTTACAGCACGCATAAGAATCATAACCAATGGCCTTTTACTTGTCTCCTTCAAAGCCTTGAAAATATAACTTTAAAATTTTTTACAAGAGCAATTTTATAAGAACACGAGCCTCAAAATTTGTCAGAGCAAGTTGAGACAGAGTTTACATAAGCTTTAAAGTTATTGGCTTAGTTTTGAACATTGCAATTAAGAACAATGTAACATGGATTATTTTTATTAAAGACTTTATGTGTGAAAACATTTTCATTAAAGAATGTATCTTCATAGCAGGGTATATCTTTTGCTAATGTCATTAAAAACAATACCTTTCGTGTCTTCATTACTTTTCAATACCCCTGCATCCCTCGATTGTTGAAGACTTACAAGTTACCATGTGCTACTCTTTACCTACCTTTGCTGACAACAAGATTTTCTTCCAGCTCGGTTAGAATTCCACGTGAATACCGAAGACGACTAGATGCCTTCATTGAATTCCGTGAATAAAAACCGCCGAAATGACATACTTCTCGAGGAGCAAAGTACTAGTTCCGTCTTCGAAAGGAGGAAGCTTTGGAAAGCGTTTGGTTAGCACGGTTAGTGCTCGACTGGAGGAAGAGAGACGGCTTATTGTGTTGTTTTAAAAGTATGAATAATGCTTTGGGGTACTAGAATCTTGCTTTCAAAAAAAGTTGTTAATTATTCAAATAGCTTTATTTTAGATGATCTAATTTTTTGTTAGTGGTTAGAATTGTCATAATCTTGTTGAGATTGAGAAAATAAACCTGTTTACCTGGTTTCAATACTGGCTTTAGTTTGCACATACTGATTACCGAAATTCGCCAAAGTGAAAATGCGATTAGCAATCGGTATTCAAGTTAGTTTGAATTAAAAAAAAATATTTGAATAATCAGGGGATCAAGTTATCAAACTTAAGCTACAGTATAGTTGCAAAAGTTCGAATTAGCATTTATTTGTCCTTTGACAGGGCCCGCGCCACGAATTTGAAAGTGGGGAGGGGGCGAGGCTAAAAAGTAGGGGGCGAAGGCTTCTCAGCCCTTATACTACATCTTTAAAACTACTTGCTTCGCAAAAAAGTGGGAGGGCCATGGCCAACCCGCCCCCCGGTGGCGTGGGCCCTGTTTGAGACAGTGATATATAAATTCCTAATTTCTTTTTTTTGTTTAGATGCTTAAAAACAATACCATATTTGAGAAACAGATAATACTGTAAAACATTTTCATTGCTCCAGTGTCAACTTAAGCATCGCATCAGGTATTAATAACTGATATGTTATGATTTACTCTTCAAATGCTTATCTAGTCCGCTCTCCATAATATTTATATGGTAAAATTGTTCTTATTTTGACCAGATACGACTGATGGACCTTTCCGAAAAAGAATGATTCCATCATCCTTTGCTTACGTAACTGGATTTATGTGACGCCTTAGAATTGAATATCAACGATGTTTCTTTTGTACATGTAATTCCGTTTTACAGACTACATTTTCTATTCCCTGATAATAGTGTGTATATTTTAGTTTAATTTTGTCTCTTCTACAAAGACCCATGAGTTTATCCTAGTTCCCTGTGCTAAGTCTAAGTCCAGTACCAAAGGCAGTTTGTCTTTATGTCATGCCTATGAAGATCTTCCGAGATGAGACAAAGCTGTGAATAGAATTTTCTTCCTTGTTTATTTGCTTCTTCACTCCTCAGAGTCCAGTTAAGTCAGAGCCTAGAAAAGATGACGTTCACGTGACCAGCGACCGTGAGGATGGCCAATGAAAAGAAAAGAATCTAGCTTGCCACACGCAAACCACACCCTTTTTTCCTTGTTTTTCTTAAAAATATCTTCACAGCTTACTTACGGATATCGGCCGGAGTAAAGATAGACATTATTCTGTAATCTGAGTTAGGTCCTTCCATCGAGATATCTCTTCAAAAGAAAGTCTTTTCTTAACCTGCTTTGAAAGCGAACAGGTGTCATTTATTATAGTAATTCCCATGTTTTCGCCTTTCGATGAAAAGCACGCTAATATCAAGTATAATTACGAACTGTCATGCTGTATAGAACCAATCAACATTGCTTGCTACTGCGACTTATCGGCTGAGAACATTTTGAAAGATATCCGCTAAGATTACGATGGCCTAATTACCCTGGGTTTTAAACGAGGCTTTTAGTAATACCCAGTAACAAGAACACTCAGGAAACTCGAAGCTTAGCGATAAAAGTGAATGTGAATCTTTGTGAAATGCCTAGCACCATTGATATATTATCCTTTCATTAACCACTCAGCTTGCAAGCTTATTCTTCAATTACGTCATTCACTTGTTTCGGTTGCATGGAGATTTGAGAGAGAACTTCGAGTTGTCCAAAGATTGATCCACTAAGGTTCAAAAATGAAAATCTCTTGAGTGCATCGAGAAATAAAGCTGTCAGTGATATTTGAGTGCCTTATGGTTTTATGACGGATCATCTGATGAATTTGGATTGCAAACAGTGTTGAACTAAACCACGAGTGCATAGACGTTCCTTTGCAAAAATCTGATCTGAACAGAAAAAATTGTCACACAGTATTTTTGTTGTACTGGAGGGAATTTCGCTTGACACCTCTGCGTTTTTGTGAGCCTTGATTTGGCTGTATCTGAATATTCAAAGCTTTCCATATCAAAGTTAACAGGGCCTTTTATTTAGATTTTAGCTGATCAGAATGGTTTGTAATTTAACAGACTGCTTTCAAATGTGTCTAAAGTTAGTAAGAGCTTTTCACGACCTAAATAGCATTTCTTATCGACATGAAATGATCTTTCTACAATTGCTACATCCACGATATAATATGGAATTTTCTTATTTTATCTTGCTACATTGTAATCGAATTCATTTTTCATTCTGACTAATGTCTAGCATGGCGCAAACTGAATTAGAAGTATGATTTAAGAGTCCCGATGTTTTCATCCTTCCTTTGTATCTTACCCTATAATATCTGAAATTTGTTTTCAAAAAGCAAGTTGGTGAAATTTGGACGAGGCTTTTGTTTTAGTGACACGGCTCGCTGCCTTCGATCGTGTGATTTCCCTTTTGGGCGCAGTGTGATTTTTATATGTCTGAGTTTTCCTCGTAACTTTAAACTTGAATTAAAGCTCTATTTTTTTTGCTTCATATTAAAACAGTGTGATTCCCTCGTGTAGCTGCTTTCATTACATACTGTTATAACAGACAGAGCGAGGTTTCAAAGACCATTGAAAAAAATACTATTACTAATTGCACTCCCACCAGTCTGCTAAAATTTTGCTATATTGTGATTTTTGCACTAATCTATTTCAATTTTCTTGATGTGGTTTAAAGGCTCTTAAAGAATATCTTTGAGCTCGAGATTAAATACTTGTAGAAATGTAATCTAGTGTGAAAGATTTGTTACTACAACTGAAATGGGACTCCTTTGAATCACGTAGATAACTATTCCAACTGAAATATGTTCATAGAATGTTTACAAATCAGGTTGCTTTGGACCCTAACATTTTCTTTCCCCCTGCAACTTGCTCAACGACAAGGAACTCTAACTCATTGAAGATCATGCCTAAATTCGGAAGGGTTGATGCTGTAAGGTTTCATTTTTTATTCAATCGTTCCTGTATGGGACAGCCTGCCAGAAAATATTTGACGCAGGCAAATTCGGATTTCTTATACAATCTATGTCGAAATCATCTTGATGAGTTTTAACGTTGTAGTTGACTTGGCGGACATTTGTATGATCCAAAAGGGTTCTTAAATGTGATGACGATGATGATGATGATGATGATGATGATGATGATGATGATGATGATGATGATGATGATGATGATGATGATGAGGATGAGGATGAGGATGATGATGATGATGATGATGATGATGATGATGATGGTGATGGTGATAATGATGATGATGATGACGATGATGATGATGATGTGAACATAAAAAAACCAACAGTTTACATGTAAGTAATCGAATATTCAAGTGTTTAATCAAGCAATGTGTCCTTCATGAAAGAATTTATGGTAGTAGGGATCTAGGACAAGAGGACACTTTTCTTACAAAGATGAAAGAGAGGGGGAAAAGGACAATGGAACAAGAATGAATCATTTTATATGAGACTGTAACTAGGAAGAAAATTGTTGTTTTGTTGTTCTTAGGCTATTTCTGTTCCATCGTATATCGACGGGTAGGGTTTACTTGTGAGGTTAGAGAGGTATCCTTGGATCTTCTCTAAGTTTGCTGAGTAATGTGTTGAGAGCACTTGAAAACAACCGACTCATGTCGTAGAATGGCTAAATATAGATTCTCTGCAGTGACGATAAACTGACAATTAATTTAGAAAACTTTGATTTATGCATCATGTTCTTTATAAAGAAAATGTGTAAACTGAAATGGCTCAATAAGCTCTGTTTTTCTTGAATCGCATGCAATACAAACTTACCATTATTGTTAAATTTTGATTACTGCATTAAAAGAAGAAAGTTTTAGCTGAATTCATATCGCAATAGATGAATCTATTGATGTTGTCAAAGTCTGGTTGTTTAATGGTGCAGTGCAGTGAAAAAGTTCGGCGCGAATTCAAAGAGTTTGAGAAAGATATTTTTCTTGTTTCTAAACACTGGCGTCACACCCGGGGACTAGCCTCCCGCTACTCTAAAAATTTTCGGTTTTGCGGAGATATTCAGGTGGAAATTTTCTCAAAGAACAAGCCTGTATCTAAATTTTACCTTCTCTATACTGCTTGAAATATGTAAACAATCTTTGGCGGTACAAAAGTTAAAGATCGTCTGACACTTTTCAGTGTATAAAACCTCAGAACATAGATTAAGACACTATGCTAGGAAATATATATACCCAGTTGTGGATCAAAATAGCCCTATCAGAAACGCCAGCACATGACTAAGATTATCTACAATGCTTATTTAAAAATGTGTCCGAGAATTAGTCACTTTGGCCCACTCTCGAATCCGATCGCCACGACGCAACCGTCCTTCAAGCAAATTTTTCTTATCAAGCTCAGATTGGAACTTCTGCTGACTAGCAATGCTCCAACGATTTGCATCATCGGAGTGATTGATATCTATAGGAATTTTCAATCTTCAGAATTGCAATATGATATTCTTAGGATCCGAATCTCTGGGAAAATTTTCATTACCTTTGTAATCATTTCTCCAAGAAATTTCCTTTCACTTAGATATTGTATGCCCCTCAACGTTATCTAAAGCTGATAGGCTCACTGTCTGACATCCTTCTTTCAAACCATAGGAAATTAAGGGTAATCTCGGGTAATCTCGCTAGAAATTTTTTTTGGGATTTTTCCCACCCATTGATCACTGGTTCCCACCACATAGATGGAATCGAGGCTTGCGGACAAAAGAGGTCTCTCCAAATCTCCTCGAAAAGCATGACAATTGTGAAATGAGAAAATGAGTCGAACTGAAAGGCTGGGTCACGGACATGGCGAATAGTAGCAGTGCAGCTAGTGGTTGAGACAAACACTGAAGATATATATTTGTCTCTTTTGCATTATTCAAGTTATTACCATTATCATATTTGAATATTGGATACTAACAATGTAGAAGTGGAAATAAGACACTAAGGATTTTACTCTGGAAGAAGCAAGTGCTGTTCTACACAGTCTCGTTAAAATTGACGATGTCGTTTTTGAGTTGCTTTCGCGGAAGTGCTGCAAAAGAAACTTACCCAGTTATAGACTATAGTCATTCAAATTTGCTTACAGTTCCTCCAGATATCTATGAACATGCAGTCTCTCTAGAGGAGCTTTATTTAGATGGCAATCAGTTGCAGGAGCTTCCGAAGGTACGTTGTAATTGAACGCGAACAGGCTCGATTTTGACATCATATTGTCATTAAATTTTTACCGCTCGCCACTTTGCTACACATTCCAAGAGTGTCAGATGTCGTATTCGTTATTTAATTGAAGTCACTGCAGATCACTTTTGAATGAGCCTGTTCATCTAGATTCCATACTAAGAAGTTTACTCATTGGAATATCAAATGTTTTGTTGAAGCAATAAGTGGAGTATCATTTAAAAACATCTGCTCAGCCTTGATGGATTTTATACCCCACTGTTTTCGAAGGACAAGAAATATTTTTAAAAAATTGTCCTACGCAATTTTTTGGTAATTGTTTTGATGCCATTATAGTTCTGCTCGACTAGGCAAACGTGCATTTTAAACTTTCTTATGTATCGGTATTTCTCATCTCTTTGTTTAGCACAACAGATGCCAGATTCCTTTCCCTTGACCGCTTGTAGTTTTCAGAAATAATTCTAGTGACATGGAATGCAACGATAGAAGAGTGATTGCTTTAAGAGCTCGTAACAACAATGGCAAACTATATAAGCTGGAAACCACAACTGCGAGGACCTATTCAAATTTATTTTGTTATCCTGAATTGATTTCACTCTGTTTCAGAAAATCTTTAAAACGCCAATTGAAGGCGATTTTTTTATTGATAGGAAGTTACGTTTGCCAAAAATTTAAAGCTTTCACGTATTCTGGTTCTTTTGAAGTTTGTTGGAGATTTGAATAACTTAAGTGAGATTGTCGGTTTTTCCTTTCAGCTAAAAATTTCTGCAATTCCAACTGTCCACATTCATGATTTTCCCATGTGAACCATCCCTATGGACTGTCCAAGTGATATTTTCCTTTAAAATGATTCAGGCTGAGTTATTTAAAACACTGAGGCTAAATTTCCATGACATTACTAAAATTTTAAGTTTGTCAAAAAATGTTAAAAACTTGCAGGTTCAAAAGTACATAGACAAAAATCATAAATCAAATAGACACGATTCTCTTTAAATTACCTATAATCACCCCATCATTCCTTCAAAAATTTGCAGGTCTAATCTAAAAGAATAAGTTGACAATTACAATGAACGAAGTATTACTGTGAAATCCACCAATTTGTCCACCAAGCAAGTTCTCAGACCAAAAACAAACTGTCTGTCATATTTATCATAGAATAATAGAATTTGACTATGCTCATAATTTTCAATGCTTTCTGTTGGAACGAATTAATCTATTACCAATCCTTTACACTCTTCTTTTACAAGAACAATTTTATAAGAACATGAGCCCCAAATTGATCCAAAGTTAAGATCATATTAAGAACAAGCTGAGGCTGAGACACTGTAAAATTTCATTTTAAAAAATGTTGTGAAACCTCATTAAAAACTTCATCTGAAAATAGATGTAGGTAGAAATTACACTGTATATACCTTAATAATTTAATTATAAACAGCAAGCCTGAACTTCAATTTACTGGTTCTTATGAAAAATAGAGTATTGCTGCCACTAACACCATACACCAGAATTGCCTAAGCCATGCAGAGTTTCCAGCTGATATGCAAATGTTGCAAACACTCTAATTTACAGAGTTGTAAGATAAACTATCTATGATCAAGCAAAGCACACAAGTTTTTATTAGAATGTAATTGCTCATTCCCAGTTTATCTTAACTGCTACCTGTGAAATAAAACTGTTGTTTTGTCAAAGACAACAAGTTTGATCTACCTTTAGTTAGAAATAAATTCAACCTCCTGTTATCTGCTTAATAAGATGTTGATTTTTTCAATTTTTTTAGCCTCTGAGCATGGAAATCAGTGTTCAGGGCCTTTTTTAAATTGTGATATGATATCTTCTTTTTAGGCCTTATTCACACTTCAAAAGCTAAAGAAATTAGATATCAGTGATAATGAAATCAGAGCACTTCCATCAACAGTGTCAAACCTGATCAATTTGATAGAATTTGATGCAAGCAAAAATGGTATGAATTTCTTTTGTTTGGATTTTTTATTTCAACTTGTGTAGGGATTTCATGTATAGATTTTCCTGAAGTATATGATGTACTTTTTAGTTTGGTCTGGTGTTTAAAAAGTTCATATTAATAGATGTCATGTTTGGTTTGTCCACAGTGATGCCTACCAAAAATTCCCCCCCCTCCCCCTGAATATAGCTCCTGGAGCTAAAGACTTGTCTAGTCACAACAAATTATGGTTCTGATTGTGACCCTTCCATATTTTCCTAAATAGAATCTGCAGCTTTGAAAAGAATTATAGAAGATGGTTTAAAAGACATCTCTATAATATAAAACCGTTCATTTCTTCTGCAAATGTCCATAATCAAATAGGATTTTTTTGTTAAATGCCTTTTCTTTTGTAATATCTTTTACCTATAGTCATCAAATTTTAAGAGATAGGGCTGGCTGATAAATGCAACATTGATTGGAGGGGGGTTTCTATTTTAGTTAATATGGTACCAGCTAGAAGTTGAATTTCAAGCCTAATTTCAAGCCATTGAAATCAATGCTGCAAATCTTCAAGACATAAAGAAAGTTTCCTAATGTGCTTCTTTAATTTAATCTAAATATAAAGATCACCTACAATATATTTGCCCTCCAGAACATCAATAGTTTCAAACATGATAAATAGGTGATTGAGTTAAAATAACAATATTGCCAAATGCTAATTGTTAAACTGCAAGATTGCTTCTCTTTGTAAAGTCAGGTGTTTAGATTTCTCGATTTTTGATAGCTGTTATTCATATTTTTGATTTTCTCTGCCAAATTATGTTTGACTTCTTTAACTAATTCACTTGACTTTTATGTCATGATTGTCCATCACTGAAAATCAAAAAGAACTTCAAATGTTAATTCCTGGGTGTAAATGGCAATAGAAATATTTAAAAAAGATTTAGAACAGCTGTATCCAAGAACCGTCTGCTTGAAAAATCAGATTTATTTTTAATCAAAGTCAAAGCTTAGTGGTTTTTTATTGTTTGTCACTAACCACATGTTAATTTGCTTTCATTTCTGGAATCAAAATGTTTTCAAAGCAAAGCTCTATCAAAATCTTTTCAACTAAGTTTGAAATCAATGATTACAAAAAGTTCCTTTCTTAGGCTAGAGCAAGCTCAGAATATATTTTGTTGTCATGAAAACTGTTTCTTTGAGATACAGTTGTTTAGTTAAAGAGCAACTGCCCTGTGGCTGTAAATTTGATTTTGTGGACATATTTATAAAATAATTATCAATTTATTCATTGCTAATTCAGCAGGACTTTTTGCAGTGGCTTTTGTTTATTACAAGAGAAAGCTCTTCTTAAGTTTGAGCATCTGTTTCATTCAAAAACAGCTCTTGGAAAGTGCTTTCAAATTTTGTTGGGTAATCTGGGACAGTATTGTAACCATATTGCAGGGTACCTACTGAAAGTGTGATTCTTGTCAAGTATTTCAATTGTGGCACAGTCATGGGGTGCTCTTAGCCCATTTCAATAGCTGTAGCAGTACATAGTTTCCAATGGCAAATAGCTATGGTATTTGCCTTGCAAACCAGACCTTGCAGCAAGAGGGGCTGGGGGACAAGCCCCATTTCATGCCTAGAATGTATTATGAACTCCATTGATAAAGTGCCCAATGAGTGTATGATGCCTAAAACTGAGCCTAAAAATAAAACTTGTTACTGATGGTATTTAGTTATATTTCAGGAAGTAGATTTGATTTCTGTAAACTAAATTGGAAACAAACTTTTACTGACCATTTCCATTATGACAAATCAATCTCCACAAACTACACTTTTTTAACAAAATTTCCTTGAAATACTCTGAAAAAAGAAACCTCCAGTTTCAAAACGTCATTGAATACTAATTAAATTAGTATTCTATTGAATAAAGCCACATATTTTACCTAGGTGCTTAATAGGGGCCTTGAAAGTAAAAGGGGCTGAGTATGTAATGTCTTTTCTGGCTACGGCAGACACAGAATATTTATATGTAGTTAATTTTGAGTTGTTTTTATTTGTGACATGAAAAAAAAATGTCCAATTTTTTAAATGTCATAACTTGAAGTGTCTGTTTACTTGCTTTTTTGTTTGTTTTTTGCTTTTTGTAGGTGGGGCAGGGGGCCACGTCCCCCCACAAATTTTGGTTGCCCCTTGTTTTGCCCCCCACTTTTTTCAAAAGTTTCTGTTAAAAACTCAATGTTTTCTTCGAAAGCTGTTCAATCGTCTTTTAACTTTGTTAGGGTTGCTCTCATTATTTTGCTCAATGCAATCCTTACTGCATTTATCTAAGAAGCTAGGCCCCCAATAAGCGCTTTGGTTTGTAACCGAGGTGAATATTAATGAAATTTGGGAAAATCCTTTCTGTAGTCACAAAGAAAAATTCATTCTTGACAATCATTTAAATTATATATTTGTTATATATTATCATGAAGATACACCTTCTTGGGGTGGGGTGCGCCGCAGGGTAAGCCCAAACCAAGATTCTCCGCATTCCATTGAAAACCCTTTTTGCTCTGGAACCCAGCACAGGGAAATACCAATACCATCCCAGTATACCTTGGTAATCTACTATTGCTTATCGAAATTCAATGATCTTTCTAACAGAATGATTTGCTTGATATCATGGAGGTTGGATATAAGACATAACTACTATGGAAAAACTTTACCAATCAAACTCACAAAGCTATTAACCTTTTTATTTTTAAAAGTATAGTTCTTCTGTTGAGACCCTAATTTTCATGTATTATTGTTAAACAGATAAACTCAGTGGAGTAACGAACCAAAGATACCTTTAATTAAATAACAAAGGGGTCCAGAACTTTTAGCAGGCCCCAGCAACAATTTTTCTTTGATATTTTTCCTAGGGGACGCAGCTGCTCGTTACCCCACAAATAAAACTATTTGGCATAATGATAACAGACCTGATAGAGCTGTACCAAGGACATACTTATCTAGAGGGCGTTAAAAATTGGTGCCTTGTAGCTAATTTTGATTCACCACAACACTGCTTTACATTCTACTAACTCGCAAAGTATTGGCTAGCGTTGGCCCCAAGGGCGGCTGGGAGCGGTATTAGCGTTATTAGTCTAATAGCAATTTTTTCAGCAAAGGCTCTCATAATCTATTGGTCTAAAACAACCATTGAAGAGGGTGTGGTTGGAAGTAGAAAACAGCGGCAGCCACGCCCTGATAGCACAATTTCTCTAATAGCAGTTTAAAATCTCTCCCAGCCGCCCCTGGTTGGCCCCTATAACTAAACGTTTGGCCCCGCGCTAGCCTCCCCCCTCCAGATTTTTTAAGACTAGATTCGCCAATGCATAAGACTGCACCAAGCAGCAGTGCTCATTTTTCTTTGTTCATTTCCAAATAAATAGCTGACCGCTTTAAAGTTAATCTTTTAGTCATTTATCACTATTTCATTAATGTTGTGGCTCTCTTGTTCGATAAAGTTACTCCTTAAGTCTTCATCGTTATATCATATTTGTCCATTTGATAACACGTATTGCTGTGTTCATGCCATTTAAAAGCTCTTGCCTATTCTGATTTATTATCTGTTATCTTTTGTCTTTCCTTGCTTGTTTCATCGTTTTCTATCAACATTGGTCATATTTTATGTGGTAATTTGTTTTACATAAGAGAGTATGTTAATGTGTTTAATTTCCCGATAGAATATATCTCTTCTATTGCAATTTTGCTGGCTATTTATAAAAATTTTTCTTTTTTGGGTACAGTATAGAAGTACTACATATAAATGTTTGAGGCATAAGCTTTTTTAGTATGAGGCATATCCAAGCATTAGAGAAGAGGAGCAAATGCCAAACCCAGCATTTCATCACCTTTCCTTTTTTCTTGCTTACCTATTGGCATATCTCTTCTGACCTCAAAATGCCTTTTTGCCACCACAGTTTAGTATTTTGAAACCCTATGACAGAGTAAAAGCCTACTCTTCCGTTTGCAATCCCATTTCATCCACCACCATGCACTAATTATAGGCTGCTAGAGGTTGCTGGGTTTCTTAATGAAACAGTCACGGTATCGCGGATTCTTAAGGATTAATCTGCATTGCTTCCAGGTTTTTGCAATTTTCCCTTAAGCTTTCGATTTCAGAAGTATCAAACACGATTCTAGTATTATTCAAAGACGCCCTTTCCATGCATTATTTACGTTGCTTCATCTGAATATAAAGTTTTCCGAAACCAATATTGCTCCTTTACATCTGCTAGTTCCCTTAAAAATGCATTCTCTTGTGCTATCATCTAAATTGTGGTACGCAAAGAGGCATTTATTTGTTCAGCATTAAATCTGTCGTCAGGTGTGATAATAGCCACACCCGTAAACACTAATTGTGATGGCTAATACGCAGCTTCAGCGTCCAGGGAGGTGCCTTATAGCAAAATTTTGTTGACCACTGCCAAACTGAGCCATCGATATTTTCTGAATTTGTTTTTTGTTATTCTGTTGTTTTGCAAAATCCCACCTTTCTTCCACAGAAGTATCGTCATGGGTGAGCGAGATATATAAAAGATATCTTTAAGCTTATTAGTAAATTCCCTGTAGTTGTAATTTATCAGAAAATTAGAGCAATAAAATTCTTAAACGTTGCTGCTAGATAAGTCGAACGTTTCTGACCTCTTTGGCTTCTGCAACTAACGAAATTTGGTATCTAATGATTTGGAAATTTGTTGTGCAGTCAGCAGTCAACTTTGCAATCAAATATGCTAGTGGGGATGTGCTTTCTTTAATTAAACTTATTTTAGAGTCAGCTTCGGTTATGTAATGAGACTTGTCGCTGTCTTTGCCATCTTTGTACTCCAATATTTTTTGCAATAAGCAACAATACAACATGGTAATAAAACAACACGAAAAATATGCCTTAGTTTGAAATCTTCCTATCCATTGAAGGCACAAGGAGTCCGGACATTTTTGTTTTTTAATGGATAGATTGTCCTTTAAGAGCAGTTATCTGAACACTTTTAAAGAGTCATTTCTAAGACATCAATTCATCGGCCTAGATATCAGAGCAGCAAATCCCTTTTCACGTGACTAGAACCGTTAGATTTGCCTATCTATGAGATTTTTGAGACAATCCATAAACGTTGTTTGTTGAGCGAAAATCGTTACACGGTTTAAGATGCATGCAAAACAAACGACTTATTTCTTAATCCGTGTCGTCTGGAATATCTCCTCAAAGCAATTATAATCTCAATTCTTTTTCTCCGAATAGGATTTTTGGAGTTGCCTGAAAACATCCGTGGATTGAAATCCTTAGAAGTTTTTGACGCGAGTGTCAATCCTCTTGGGTCGTAAGTACATTTTTCATTTTATCTGCGAATGGGAGGATTGTATTTCAAGCCTATTTGTTTGTATAATAAAGAAATCGTTTCGTTTAATTTCGGCCGAGGTGGCTTCTTACCTACTTATAATTTACCTTTTACAATGCATTCATAAACTTATGTACAAAACCTATGTTTTCAGGAACAGGACTAATTTAAAGTGATGATATAGAGTAAGGAACGCGATTGAAAAATTATTATATAGAAAAGTAATCAGTTTTGAATTATTGTTCTTCTGTGATGAAGGAATGCCTTGAAAGCTCTCAAGAAACCTGGTCACATTTTCTGTCCTCTTGGTTCATGAGCCGAATAAAGATATTTATTTTCTTGAAAAATTGTGTTGATATTTATCTTTCAAAAATCAAGCATTAAGATTTGATCTAGTTAACCAGGCACGGGTAAAATGGTATGTGACACCCCAAAGGTTGATATCGTCGTAGGTGAAAAAAAGCTTAACCTATAATTTGCTGAAATTTTCAGAAGCCTTTGCAGAAGTTCGTGTAGGATATTTACAAATCGTAAAGTTTTCATGAAGAACTGCAATCAAAGGTCAAATTTAGGTTTAATCCTATCGCACACTGCAGGTTTTATCTGCGATACCTGTGAATTACACCATTGAGCACTAAATCGCGGCACTGTGAGCTAAAAAGATTGTAATCGTGAACGAAAGATTCTCAGATCAAATATGTTTGATTATTTTTTTCGTCGCTGACGACCAAAGGCAAAATCGTGTTGTGTGTGATGCCCAACGATAAAAATCGTTGAAGATTGTGAAAAAAACTAGTCAGATTGTAGCAGGAAAAGCTTAATTTGCGAAGAAGCACCATATACTTTCCTTATTGAGAATGCCATGGCTCAGTAATATGACCAAAAGACGTCTGCTGTTAGAAATATCGTATTAATCATAGTTTGTATGCTCTGTTAAGTTTCTGAATTAATTTGCTATTGAAACCTTGCTGCATTATTTTCTGCATCCATGAACTGACCAAAAGTTTCTTTCTCTAAGAAATTATTATCTTGTAGAGGATATTTGGATAACCACTATTACACTAGGCTTATATTTATGTTCGGTCTGCCTTTTTTCAGCAAATGAAATATAAATTAGCCTTTAAAACGACTTTTGCTGCGTGACTGGGCCACGGAGGACCACGGAGGAGACGTTATCCCCTGAAACTCTGCAGTGCGTGCTAGGTTTTAGGGACTCTCATTGGCCTCATTGCGTTGGCCTTTTTCCGGTTGTCTTCCTCTGGCAATCGATGTTTTTGAATGTCTCTGTTTTTTTTCATTGTATTTGTGTAGACGCAACGGAATCAAAGTTTTGTGTTTTGCAGCATCTAGGTTGAAGGGTCTTAATTCTTGTTTACTATAGAAGTAAGTAAAAAAAGCCTTAAAAGATGTCTGAGTATTTTCCCAAAAGTGGTATGGCTATGGCCCCCTTATTTCCATTTCTAAATCTTTCTTTGCATATAATATAGCGCAAGTTTGATATTGATTTCATTAATTTCATTTTTGACTTTTCAGAGCTCGCTATCTTATGAAATCCATTTCCTAAGGATACAGTGTCTTTGACTGTCATTTTATTAAATTTTGGTTTGATTATTCGCTAAATAACTGTTTTTTTCTTATTTTTTCTAGGTTGCCAGATGGCTTTACATTGCTACTTAATTTGACTTATTTGTCTTTGAATGACACGTTCCTTGAATTTCTACCCGCAAATATTGGTAGACTGTCAAAGCTGGAAGTTTTAGAAGTCCGAGAAAATCATCTTACTGCACTGCCAAAGTAAGTGAGACGTATTTGCATTGTCTGTAACTGCCTCGTGAAGGCACCCATTGCCAGCATAGCTAGTCACCATTGTTAATGATTTTCCCTCAACCATTCTTGAAAACAAAGTAAATTCTGTTTTGGTGATGGAGCTTTAGGAGAGAAAACCGTATTAATGAAAAATAAGCCTGGGCAATGTCTGCCGTCTCTAACTGCAGTCGAATGAATCAGGCTCAAGCGATTTTTCTTGTTGTCAAAGGCTTTTGGAATCAAGCTTCAGACACCCTCAGACAGTAATCTGCTAACAGCAGTCAATATTTCTAGTCTTGAAGGTGCGTCTGTTATGAGGTCAGTGTTTCTCGTGATCAATATTTCTAGTCCTGAAGGTGTGGCCGTTATAAGGAGTTTCAACTGCAATATTAGCAAAATCAGTCAAATTTGTCTTTTCTAACCAATTTGAATCAGTACTTGTTTACTAAATCTTCAAAGAGAAAAGCGAACATAGTCTGATGTACAGTGTGGTAAATTCTGGTCATTTTAAGCTTAGAAGGCAAATTTGACTCGTCTGTTAATGTTTCTTCTTTTTGTTTAAACTTATGAAACATCAGCTTAATTCAAAATTTCCATTGGGATAACATATCTTGCATTGTCTGTATACGTTATACATTATTGCATCAACTTTTATGCAGATTCAAAAAATCAAAATAGGAGAGTTCATCCTTTTAGCAAAGAATAAAAGACAGTTATTGCAAGCTTTCTATTGAAAACGCCCTGAACTGCAGGTCTGCTCAAATTTGTTATCAGTAAGCATAAAATGTTTGATTTTCAAAAAATTTCTTTTCAAATCTGAAAAATGATATTGTCCAAAGATTCAATATTTGTTTCTGAATTATTTACAGCGTGAACTATGATTACTTCAGCTTGTTCTACAAATGTAGAAAGAAAAGCTGGCAAATATTTGATTTATGTTTTTTCAACAAAATCTAGAAGAACAAGCTGAAAAATATTTTTCACCCAGCTTTTGTTAATTTCCACGTCAACAGTGATTTTCAATGTTCTTTTGTGCCATTTTTAAGTACCTGTCTTCTGTATAACAAAACATCCCTTTTTTTCTTTCATGTTAGTATTAGTAGGTAACTCATAATTGCCAAAATCATTGCACCTTTGTAAAGCTCATTCGGTTTCGGGTTGGACCAAACCTCTTAAAATAAGTTAGCCAAAGGGCTCGCGCCACTGTAGAGGGGCAAGTAATGTAAATAAATTTTTCTCTTAACCCCTCGCACCCGTTGTTTTGTGGCCAAATTTTTGACGACGCTGTTTTACTTTAGGACTTTGATTCAATGTGTTTGTTGTAATCTATAGGATTATCTAAAAGAAAATTTAAGCTGATTTAATCTGGCCCCCTTGCCCTCCTGTGATGCGGGCCCTGAACCATCTATAGCCTTGCCATTTTTTATCTTTCTCTTTAAGCAGCTGTAAAGGCAATCACCCTTCGAATTTAAACTTTAAAGTTGATTTTAAACCAGGGGCGGACACTTGATCAAATATTGGGGGGGAGCAAGCCTATTGTTTTAATAAGATGACGTCACATTTCCCATTGTTTAAGAACAAAAGACCATTGTCCTCTAAAGTATTGGGGGGGGGGGGCGGTCGCCCCAACCAAGTGTCCGCCACTGTTTTAAACGATAACTGATATAAACTATGTAGTCTGAGATAAAGGGTTTGCGTTGTTTGTCTGGTCCGTGTCAGTCACATGATTAGTCTGGTCCTGTTAACCGAACGATTTTTCTGGTCCTGTTAACCGAACGATTTTTCTGGTCCTGTTAACCGAACGATTTTTCTGGTCCTGTTAATCGAACGATTTTTCTGGTCCTGTTCCCCGTATGATTTATCTGGTCATGTGACCCGTACGATTTGTCTGGTCCTGCTATCCGCAAAATTTGTTTTGTCCTGTTACCCACTCGATTAGTCACATGTTATCACAAACAGGAGCTGCTGTTTGACATTTTGTAGGTTCCTCTAGTGCCAAGGTATACATTACGTTTTATAGATATCCTTAATTATTAGTAAGCTCAGTTCAGTGAGGATACGAAAGGCATGCATCTGGTCCTTCTGTCAACTATTTTATTTTAAAATCTTGTTTCGCTTACAATGATAGGAAACATAAATTCTTATATTTGCAGTCCTTTTAAAAAATAATGCTACTTTCCAAAATCTTTTTAATTGCCAAATTCTTGTTAAAATTTGTTCTACATTTCTGCTGATTTTTATAATTTATTCTAATTTCTATATGATCGAATTTCTCATAATTAGCCATGATTTTTAGGTTTATTTTCAAGGGGCAAAGATTGCCACGAATGCAATATTTCGAGCTTTAAAAAATGAAAAATTTATTATCTACGTCTTACGTATAAGAATCTTTAAGAAAATTCCGAAGTTTTTGAAATGAAAGCTAATACTTTATTCTGTACTAACGATACAAAAGCTAAACCAAGGGTCTTTCTCTAAGCGTTATTTGTACGTTAACGATGTGAAGCTTATGATGCCACCTGCTCTGCCTTATTTTTGTAACTCTTTTTTATCCCATTTCGTCTATCATTGTTATCAAAAGTGCATCTTCGAAATTACAAAAGTTACATTTTAGCCCAGCGTCTGCATTGTAGTATAGATATGTTCATTGACGAACTTTCAATGCCATTGCATGTTCTTCTAGCCAGTGATTCCTTTAAGTTATTTCAATATGAAATAAAATTTTTAAAAGCATGTGCAGGTCTGTACAAGTGCAACAAATTTTTATAAATTTTCTGCTGTGATGATAGAGATAAAGATCGAAGTGGTCTTCAACTTTGTCAGTCATTGTCGTTAAAAGTCATCCTTAAAGGTAATGTGTCCATATAAAAGGACTGCGTACACCCAACTTGTCAAGCCACCCATCAAGATAACGATTTGCGATTGATTGGTTAGTATTCTTGCGATGCAAAACTGCTCACATGAAAAGCTGACCTCGCAGCAGGATAGAAAAACCCCGGAGAGTCGCTTGCTTTAGCTGGACACATTACCTTTAAGTTGTTTGGGTGCCTCTAAGGCTGCCATCTTGAAATATATTCCGGTAAAAGTGAAATCTAAAAGAGTTTGATTATGGAAATGCATTATAGAAAGCATCAACGTTCCCTCTGCTGTTAATCTATGAGTATAATGTCGCTATCTAAGTACATGCAACCTCTGGTGATAGCTAATGAAAAAGTCTTTGAATTTATCAGGATGAGACTTCACTTAACTACGAGTATCCGACGGTTAGGCAAATTTTCTGAAGTTGTTCTTGTTTTGGATTTACACCAGGAAGCTGCAAAGACGACGATATTAATGAATGGATTTTCTGATCACGGTTTAATCTCGCGCCTCTAGAACTTTTCATTTGCTGGTAAATCTAGCCAAATCTTAATAAGCAGAAATGAATCATTAATGCTTCTGGATAAATTGTTTTTGACGAAATCAAAGCCTAAGATTTTCTTCAGCTCTGTGGCTTACCATTTGGCCTATCGCTTTCTGAAGAAGATCAAATTGGCTTAGCCTCGTTATCAGTTCTCATTGCTTCCTCGTTTGTCTGTGCTAGACAACTAGCTTTCGTTGCAGACTCTACGGAAGAGAAATAAAAATCCAGGCATGAGAAAAGGAATGAGGAATTCCCTTTTTTCTATGGGTTTCCGTTCTTCCGAAATAAAGTTTGCAACGCAGGCTATTCGGCAACATCATCGAGAAAAAGCACAAAAACTTTGGACACTGTGGGTGGTCATGCTCTTATCACCAATGGTTGTCATATATGGTGTAGAATAAACCCAAACGTTGATTTATGCTATGAATAATCATATATTGCCATAGACGTGAGGTAGTTAGTTACCCTCTAAACTACCACTCACACCTGTCACCAAGTTGGCGAGACAAGAAGTCTGACATGAGGTGAACCTTTTATGCCTTTCGATCCTTCGCAAGATTTCAGCTGTGGATCTTTGTTGCTGCTTGATAGTTTTCTCGCCCCAGTTCTGTTGTTTTGCGACTAGCACTTAACTGTTTCGAAAACTGGTTCAAGCAGAAACTGCTCACTCTATTTTCCACGTGTTTCGGAAAACGTTATCTTCTCATAATATTTATCAACGATTCATGCATCGTTTTTACCTATTCTAAACACATTATCCCACCTTTGATTTGTCCTTAATCATACCTTAAGTTTCAACATAAAACATGGCATTTTTTGTGTCCCATTTTTAAATGCCTGTCTTTTCTCTTTGTTGTGGCCAAGCATTTTATAATGCCCTTCCTTTTCCAGAATTAAACATTTCTATGATGTCACTGAGATTTCTTCGAGCCTGTGCTTATTAGGCCAATTTGTAGAAAGTTTAAATGATTTTATACATCTAGAGGCACTTCGTCATGCTCTATTAAATTATTTGCTCTAAATCCAAAACTTCTAAAATTCTATGTTTATGACGTTATCATTCAGGGACTTTGTTCCCTTCTCTGTACCTTGTTGCTAAGACGTTTTGTTTTCGAAACAAGCTAGCACGTATTCGAGGCAAGACATCTTTCTCCTGTTTGTAGCAGCAGTATGTCTGCTGCCAGTAATAAGAATTTCCTGATTCTAGCTAATCCCCGTCAAGCAATGATACTCGGAAATGCTTCTCTTGGTAGACTTTCGACGAACTTAAACAGCATTAAGCAATCGTAGCAAACTCTGAAGTTATCCTTTGCAAAATAGGTTTTGAAGCCATTTCGTACACAGAAAAGCCAGTCTCTCTAAGTTAATAATCGACTTATTATATACTCAATTACGTACTTAATTAATGAATAAGATAAAGCAACCACAAAAAGATGATAGTGCTAAATCGATTATTCACCTATCAACATTCATTCAACCGAATTCGGTTAGCGTAGATTTATCCTGAAAACAGGACCTATAAAATTAGCTTTTTGGCTATCAGCAAGGCTTGATGATCGCATATAACGTGCAGTAATCCTGGATAATTGATTAATTTGTTGGATCTATTTCTGTCTTTGGTTTCATGGTGATTACCTTTCTGATATGATAGGAGAATATCTTGTATAAATCTGCTCTTTGGACCGCAAATCACAAATTATAACTGGCTTATGCGAACGATTTCCACGTCACATGTTCCATTGATTCTATTGCGACCCGAGCTGCTATGAAGCTTTTGCGAGCACTGGGTATTTCTATTTGGCTATTTCTGTAAATTAGATATCCCCAGTAATGTACCATTAAGGCACCAGTCTGTTTTACACTTCGACAAAACAAAAGTCGCGCAGCTCTTGATCATTTTGTGTCTGAATTTGCTGCAGCAATTCTCTTGTCATGGATTCTGGAATGGGTCTTGGTTGCAAGGAAAAGAGGACAAAGGGCATTTTAAAAAAATTCAAAGCAATCGTGTTCTTTCGGAACCTTATTCTGACGTTTTATGCTCTGAGGAGTGTCAGACGAAAAAGCTTTTAGTATGTCGTAAAATGTTTGCTTTTTTCAAAGCCATTTTCAAATTTTGTACCGCAAAAAAATTGTTCAAAGCAGATTGTTAGGTGTGTTCCAATTTACCGCTCTCATTTTGTGAACAATATTTCAAAATCTCTCTAGAAGAGCCCAGTTTCCGGTTAAAAAAATGTATTTTGTTTATAACTTTTTCCCACCTTTTTTATTGAAGAAAAGGCAAAGTCTCGACCCTGTCGCCCAGTGCCCATCCTCCGGATATCCAATGCTTTGACACCACTAACCTTGCTTTGAGACCACCTTAAGACCTTGAATTAAGATTTTCGCGTTTAGTTGAATTGCTTGACTAATTTGTTGTTGTTGCAGGTCAATGAATAGACTGGCTCAACTACGAAGACTCGATATCGGAAATAACGAATTCATGGAACTGGTATGTTCTTTAAATATTCTTATACACAAAGTAATGTACTTTTACTTACCAAGCCAATATCGACAGATATACCAATATTTGACAATCCTAGCAAGTATTAATTGTATTTATACATGCAGATGGGCCTTGTAATGTCCACTTTATCAAACTCATCGAACTGTTCACCATGTATTTCATGGCAATTTTTTTCTGCATACTTGCTCTTTGTTCTTCAATGCTTACTTTTTAGCTGAAAATCGTATATTTTTTTGGAAACTCAATATATTTTTTATCCTTACATCCATCTGTAAATTACCCCTATCATTGTCCCGCATTCCAGAATCTTCTGAGGGTGCATTTCATTTTCAAAACAGCCGTTGATGCTTTGGAGCATCGTTCTTCATATCATTGTCCATGGAGATTTTGATACATTTTTTGTGCTTCTTTGCATACATTGCTTATGCTTCTTTGCATCTTTGCCTTAATAAAGATTAGCAAATTAACCTTCTCGCTATAGTATCAATTGTTCAGATTTGAAAGTAACCAGATTTTGGAACGAGAGGCCGATTTTATGCTTTTTCGACCCCATACAAAATCGCCTATAGATGAAACGTTGTTACAGTATGACAGTTATCGGTAGTTACGTTTATGATAAAACATTCCTCGCTTTTCAGCCCGAGGTTATTGGAACACTAACGAGGCTGCAAGAGCTGTGGATTGATTGCAATCAAATTGGGAGTTTACCAGCTGTGAGTATTTGCAGGAATATTCATTCTCCTTAAATACAAGGCTCCGTTGAGACAGATCTTTTACTTTTACTTGTAAATGATCTGATCTAAATTTTGCTGTCAGTGTTTTATATAAATCTGACGATCCTTGAGTCACTACATTAGGCCTACAGTTGAATCTCATTAAGTCGGACCTTCAAGGGATAATAAGGCTCCGACTAAGCAAATGTACGACTTAAATTTGATATGTCCTTTGACTTGAATGAGGTTGAAAGGTCAAATAGGTATAGAAGATCAATCCGTCTGAGTGAAAGTCCGGGATATCCTTGCTACAACTTAACGAGATTCAACTGTGTTACAACGTAAAATGACAAAAAACACAACAATGAAGGGTTAGAGCATTCGTAGAAAAGATGCTAGTTTGTGCATTTATAAACTAAAACTCTTTAAAACATTGACCCATTATAATGATTGATACATCTGATGACAGGGACACAATCAAACGTTACTTTCGATCGATACCTGGATACAAATTTCTGCTACATTACCCGACGTTTATACTTCGAGAAGTGTCGGAAGAAAAGCGAGAAGTGTCGGAAGAAAAGCGAGAAGTGTCGGAAGAAAAGCGAGAAGTGTCGGAAGAAAAGCGAGAAGTGTCGGAAGAAAAGCGAGAAGTGTCGGAAGAAAAGCATTTTTGGCAATAATTTTGTTGCTAATTCTGGCGTTTACTGTAGGCAATCAATTTAGCCGTAAATGTTTCTATTATTCTTTTGTTTAGCTCATCATGAGTATTGCAAACATGAGCTACACTAACGGAAATGAAATGATGACTGACCTTTTTTTCCAGGAAATTGGAAACCTTAAATTCTTAGAAATTCTCGATGCGTCAGAAAATAGAATAGAATGGGTTGCTGACAAAATTGGAGATGCTGATTCGCTTACTGATCTACATCTGATGACGAACCTTTTAACGCTTTTACCTGAGAATTTATGTAAGTTTACGTTCTTGCGTTCACGTAAATTTATTTTTTTACTTTTTCTTTGGACAGTTTAGTTTTGGTTAACGTTTTTCGATTAACTCTTGCTTTTTATTTGAGACTCTGAGCTTTTTATTAATATATAGGGTGTGTTGTAATTTTGTACTTATTTTGTTCTCATTTTGTTTTGTTTTGCCGATTTCTTTTAATTCTTCCTAGTGCCCGAAGTATTATTAAGATAAGGTAAAGCTTTGTTAATAATGTCATGCCCCTTGCAGCTGCTGCTTCTCAAATCTAAGTGATTGTCAGCTAGGAAAGGTGTTTAGTTATTGTTTCCAGTATGAGAGCATCGTATTTTTAGATTTGTCTCCTGTAGATTGGCAGATTTTTCTAAAAATTCACTGCAGTGTTTCTTGGCTGTTAACTACAGTGGAATTGTTTGCACACTGTAACCCCTACAATGAATTCGTGAATTTGCTCTCTTATTATTCTCAATCAAACTTTCCAAAACGTCAAGTGATGGTGAAGAAATCTTTACCGCTAGCTGATGCCTCTTCACAGGGAAGATGATCACAGGGAAGATGTTTTTTGCCTTGCAAGTGAATTTGGCAGATATTTTTTCTCTGTATTATTTACCTTAGCATGAAATTTTGATAGGAGAACGTACTGTGTGGGTTGACAGTTTTTCGGTTGAGTTATGAGGAGCTGAAGTTGGTTTTGGAGGGAGATGGATATTAGCTCGATGCAATCCTGTTTATAAATGGTTTTTATGCACGCAAGGAGTCGTTCAAATTGAATATGGTTTTTCTTTTAGGTAAATTGAAAAAATTGGAAACACTTCGGGTGGATGATAACCATTTAACAAGTTTACCGACCTCTATTGGAGGGTAAGTTTTTTTTTCAACACCTTCATCAATCTTTATTGACTTCCCCCTTTTTGTCCCAAAGGAAAAGTCTCGGCCCTGTCGCCCAGTGTCCCCACCTTATTCTCCGGGTCCACAGTTGCACATAGACTCGGCCTTGGTCCTCAAATATTTAAACAAGATTGATCTACTTGCTTCAGTCACTTTTTTAAAGGAGCAAATAAAACCTATAGAATATGGGTTTTTAGAACCGAAAATGAATCATTTATGTTTTTATATCGCAATTAAACTGCCCGTTCAGCTTCGCTTCTACAGTTTCTGTTTTCATTCTTTTTTAACAAAACCTATTGAAAATTTGACGATAACGCTTGAAGAATAATGCAGTCCTTAGGCGATACCATTGAGATCAGAAGATCGTATAATAAAGATGATAAAAACTGCTTAAATCTCACTCAAATTAGATTTTTGTTTCTTATCTACGTAGCTTACCTATACTTAAAACTGATAGTTTAAGCCCAGTGACAGCTAAACGTTTTTCATTGCCTGAAATGAGTCATTGCCTGAAAGTATGTCTCGGTATACCCAGTTTTGAAAACCTTGAGTATATTTTTAAAGTTCATGGTCTGACCAAAAAAGTAACAATTTTTCTCCTGTTTTACATTTTTCAATGTTTTTGCAGGTTATCAAGTTTACAGGAGCTAATTGTCAGTGGAAATGAGCTAGAGGTTAGCCATGTCCTGTTAATTCAAATCTTTTTTGATAGGAAGATATCAAATATAACTTTTCCTATTTCATGTTTAAAAAGCATTTGTAAGTTTATATATCCCTCAAAAAATGCATTCGGTTGTAAAAAAAAGAAATTTTGTTTTTATTATTTTATGTTATTTTCATTCTAGTTGCCTATCAAAATATTATACATTTTATCGTATAAAGTTTTTTTTACAAAAATTTCCTTCGGTTTTTGCATTTTTCTATTTATTTGAAACAAGTAGCAAAGCTTACTGTTCTCTTGCAGACATTACCTCCAGGAGTAGGCCTGCTACGGGATCTTGTAACACTAAGTTGTGATGAGAATTTCATTGAGTCACTCCCACCAGAGGTAAGACTAAAGGCTAACGCTATATTTTATCATACTTCATTTTTATTCAATAACTACACATCTACATATAAGCAGAAATCATTGATTGCAAAGTCAGGGAACGTTGAATTTTTGACTTTTTTGTACAATTTCTTAAGTGTTGGCATTATTTTTTTAAATTGGATACTTGATATATGTATAAGTCAATGTTTCTGTATCATTTGTTACTCTTCTTTGGTCATGGTCGATGCCGTTGCCTTACAAAAATAGCTTTTCGTTTATGTTTTTTTTATGTTTTTATTTGTTTTTATTTTTTATTTATTTTTAAGTTTTTTTTGTTTATGCAGTTTATGCTTATGTTTATGATTATGCTTGTTTTTGTCAATTCGGTGTAGCTTTAGTTACAGACATTTAATTAGGGAGTCAGGGTTTTCCTCTTGATTACCACTAAAGGATTTAGATTAAGAATTTCAGCAAATCTCTAGAGTGCTTGTAAGCTACAGTGGCGTAGCTAAGCTTAGTTGCATTGAATTTTGGCTCGATAAAACTCATTTGTTGCGTTTTAAAAAAGCTGCTAAAATGACATGGTCTTGCTCTCTTTGCAATTTCCAGACTGATACATTTCTACAACATTTTGTTTTTAATTGAATTACTTTCATTAGATGAAGGTGAAAATGATAAAGATGAAGAAAGAAATATCTAGGCTTGAGAGAAAAGCCTCCTCGGTCTTGCAGACCAAACATCAACCTTATTTCTGCCACCGAAAAACAGTTACTAGAAAACCCAGATTGTGCCACAAACGATAATAGTCACATGATTCGGATAATTGGCAGAGTCCGGTCGTCGTTCCTTCTAAAATCTTTGATTTAATGTACATGAAAATATGAAAAAGTCATTAATGTGTAAACAGAAAGAATTAATTTTCACCCTTTGACTCACCCATTGGCAAAATCTTCTTTAGGCAAGTGTCACTGATTGGCCCATTTCGATCTGCAACTGATTTGTATATTTCCTAGCTTAGAGTCATTTATATGACTTTTTATATTCTGAAGAGTGTTAGACGAGAATCTAATACATGCTATACTTTTTGCTTTTTCAAGCCTTTTTGAAAGTACAGCAAAGTTTTAAACTGAAATTATATTTCACCAAGGCGCTCTTCTTGATAAATACCAACTACATCCCACTCTGGAGACATTATGCATAACTCTCCAAGTGACGAATCTTACGTTTTTATGGACACAAATCGTCCTTTTGCCGCTTAAAAACATTTTTAATTTTCAATTTACTTATTCCTTAGGCAAACTTTGATTCCGCCGAAGTTTTAGCTTTCTTTTGTTTTTAGATGGGAAGTTGCTGTAAGCTATCTGTGCTGTCATTACGGAAGAATAAACTAGTGTCTTTGCCAGACGAAATAGGCCGATTAGCCAACCTCTCGGTGCTTAATCTCAGTTCAAACGCGTAAGTCATTTGTTACCACTTGTACCTTCTCACGTCAAATCGGCATTCTTTTCTAGTCAGTGGGTCTTGCGCAATCCTCAGACGCTAACTTGAACTTAGTTTTACTCGCAGATGCACCGTTTCATTACAGGATTTCGTCTCACTATATTTACTGCTACTGCAGGTAATGACGCACCTGAAAGCCTATAGTTTGGTAACAAGTCTTTTGCAGCTTCCACACACTGCTAGTTTTCATCCCTATCCTCCTCATTTTTTGAGTGGAAAGAAATATCTTGCTTAAAATTAACAGATAAACAAATGTTTTTATTTGTGGAGCAATGCTTGTCCTACCTTGTTGTTACTCAAGTGCTCATTTCTGACTTCCCCTGTTTTTTAACATATTTAAAGAGATGTAAGCGTCATTACCCAAATACTCAAAAATTGGTTAGCTTATAACTAAATTATAGAAGTCCTTATTCATCCGAGGTTGAAAATTTTATGAAAACCAGAATGTTTTTTCCTAATGTTAATATTAAAAAGACAAGCTGCATTTTTTTCTCCACTCCTCTGAAAGTTTTTGTTTCCAAAACCTTTTATTTAAGTAGACTCTTATTGTCTATCGTAGACTCTTAGCAACATCATCGTGGGCTTTCAGGGCCGTATCATTGTTGTGCTCTTGTCTTTGGGTCATTCCAACATATAGGTCACAAGTGAATCATAGCCAGGCTTTACTTTAATTTTCAATCCTTTTTGGTGGATCAGCAAAATAACTCAAAAGCGTCCCGATGAGTCTTAGAAACCGCCTGGCTGATGCAATTAGATTAATTAGAATAATAAGGGTTCATCTTGAATAAGATATATCTACTCTTGACACCTGTTTTTTGCTTTGAAGCAGTCCTTATGTTTTTGGTGAATTTTTAAACCATCTTTTCACCTATAGATAAAAAAATTTTTAGTAAAAGTATAAAGCAAATATGTAGTAAGTTAAATGGAGTGATATTCATGAAAACTCCTCTTTACTTTTTTAGAGTCGGTATCACTCGGTATTACTTGGCAACGCTTCTTTTTCAAACTTCAGATCAAAACGTCCCTTGCATTGCCCTTGGGTCACTGTTAAGAGCTTTTATTTCTGTTTTTATCATTCATTAATTATATTCAATTTTGTGTCTGTCCATTCATTTATATAAATACTATAATATTTTTTGTGCCTACATCATGTACATCGCTCTTACTTTTTCTTTTTCAGGCTTGAGAATTTGCCATTCAGTCTTATGAAACTGAAAAAGCTAAAAGCGTTATGGCTATCAGAGAATCAGGTAGGAAATAAATAAAACTTAAATTTGATATTTTTCATATACGGCAAGATATTGGTGCACCTTTATCGTATAGCCAGTCTCCGGTTTTAACTGCTATCGTCCAGTACAACGAATTGGCATAGTGGTATTTTTGCAGATCAGTTTAACCCATATTAGCCAAAGTTTCCTTAACTCGTAGTGAAAAAATATAGGAAATTTGACCTAATGTTGCAAAAAATTGTTGTAAATATTGTAAAATGTGCTTGGAATGTAGTTTTATGTCTACCATTCCTTTTTATTTTTGCCTGTCAAAAGGCGTTGTCTTAAGGCAATATTTCCCTTTCAATATTACGAGATGTAGCGTGTATTTCGCTGTTATCAATGTCTTGGTTAATAACCGTCTTGATTTTGTGTTAGGCTTTTCATCCAATATTTCCTAGTAACCTTTTTCAAAGCCGACTTCCTAACTTCTTTCAAAGCCGACCGAGTTGAGCTTTTTCTTGTGCGCTCTCTGCGTCCATCCAAAGCCCTGCCGTCACTTGAGCAGCTGAAATCAGGCGCGCATAGTGCCTGGAAGTTGACTCAAAAATCCTTTCTGTGGCCAAAGGGATATGGACAAAGCGCATGCTTAAGATTGGTTATACCGCGCGCGCGAGCAAAACCTGTCGAGTGAAATTCGGTCTCTGGAGAAAACAAGAGCTTTGTCGAATTTATTTCCCAAGAGCTTTGTCACTGCTATTCAAAAAACAGCATGGCGTCAAGTATAAGCCCTCTACTGTGCATATTAATAATTACTGTGTTGAAATCTTAGGCTTAAACCAACAATTCTGTCCATCTTTCAGTCCAAACCGTTGATTCCGCTGCAGACAGAGTTCGATCCTGTAAAAGAGAAGAGGTTTCTCACCTGTTACATGTTTCCCCAGCATTCTCTTAGCGAAATCGAGGCTGGTAAGATTTTATAGTCTTCAAGTCACATTTAACGATGTACAATAATCTCATGGAAATAGAAGAGCAAAGATTAGACAGAATAAAGTTAGCGGTGAAAAGAGGCTTAAATTAGTAAAATTTATTGCAAATTTTAGTTTTCTTATCGATACCTTAATCCGGTTTTAATGTGATAAATCTCAGATTCCGTGTTCACTTTCCTTTTTGACTTAAGCCATAATTTGTTGAAGACGCATTCATTTTCAAGTGACCTGGAATTCGCGACGGTTAAGATCATTTGATTTCCAACCTACCTGTTTTTAATCGGTGTTTTTCGTCAGATTCCAAATATTTCTATTAATTATTTAATCTTTCCCAAAATGGATTACTATTTCTTGTTATTATATGAAAGCCTATTTGTCTTGTATGTTATTACCAAGGCGATTTCAGTCTACAATCAAATAAATAAGAATAATTGAATAAATAATTTTTCTTTATCACCCGCATTCATCATTGCAATAAATGCCAGGTCATAGTGTTTTTCATTTAATCTATCAATTGGCTAACTGTACAGTTATGAGTCGAATCAGCTTTGAAACTTTGTCTGACCTAGCTACACTTCTTTCTCTTTTTTGGAAATCATTCAACAAGTATTAATCTTTTAAAAGCCATGACCATGTCTTTAAATTGCACTTTAAGAGCCTATATGTCTCGGTTTTTTCACTTTTTTATATAGCTTATTTTCTTTTTCTTCCAACCCAACAAGGAACCTACCAGAATGGCTCTACCGAATCCTCCTACATTCTCTTAAGAAAATTTGCAGGCCTAAGCTAATAAAACTCATGACCGTTTCATTTAAGCCCCGGTTAAACGATCCCGTATTCCATCCAAAATTCATCCAGCAATTGTTAAGCAATAAATTGGATGAGCTTTGAATGAAATACTTTAAACAAACGTGCGTAAAATTCTAGTTCTGTTATGGTTGTATAATTATACCATCCTAAAAATGAAAGAACATGCACAATTCTGAACTTTAGTTTGCTCGCGAATAGAGAAAATGGTTAGGCTTTTATTATAAATCGTGTGAATATCCTGTTACACAGCTTAGCAAGATTGCTCACTTAAATTGTTACATAAATGGTTCGCATATTGCATAAAAAAGTGATTTTATTGTTTTGCAGAAAGTGTAACGAGATCAGATGAGAAAAGCTTCCACGCATCGTTGTTCGAAGAGGAGTGGAGAAAACGAACTTCTGTTAACTTTGACATTGATGATGCTGACAGTCAAGCGGTATTTATATGTTTATCTACAACATCCTAAGTTCTGATTAAGATTTCCATCTGATGTTTCTCTTCCAATAACGCTGTTTATTCTCTGTATTATAGAGTCGTTTTTGTCTTCAAACGACTTCAAAATGCTAGATCATTTTACTATGGAAAACACTGATATGATCGTACTTATCACTCATATATCAATTCAAACACAACAAAAGTCTGTTTTTCAATACAGAAAAAGCTGTGTAACTTTCTGACCAAAACTAACACATTAACAGTTCTCTTTAGATATAATCTTCGATCAACACAAATATCAAGTTTGGAAACTACAGTTTTACCTGGGTTAGGATTGTGTTCGATTTTGGGACTCCAGTAGTTCCTATACGCACACGGCACTGATAAGGTTACCTTACTTATCAAGTGATTATGTTCTGCTTGGCCTATTTCGATCCCCAACTTAGTACCTTTTTTAGCTTCAAATTTTGTATTCTTGTTCTGGCCTCTCATATTCTAAGGAGTATCAGAAAAAAGCTTCAGTATGTTTTAAAATGTTTGCTTCTTGTTTTTAAATAAGGCTTTAGATTGAAATCTGTGTTTGTTATTTAGGTTCGACTCTCAAGACAACCAACTCCTTACCAGAAAGACATTCGTGACAAAATCCAGCACTTCAGGGACGTAGCCATTGCCAAACAGCATATTCATCGTGGTGAATTATCCCAGGTTTACGACAATCCATTAATTTTACAAGAGGAAGAAAAGGTATGCTGCATCCTGTTTTTATGCATTTCCCTTAATTTATTCGATATTTTTGCTGCTAAATCCAACATTCTAATTTATATTTACATTTAAAATCGAAGCATACTAATTTGAAGTAAAAAGTAATCGAGTGCTTTATTCCCTTTCTACGCAAACACTGTGCATTGCTCCTCACCCATTCATTCATTTGCTTCTTCCCCTTAAGTTTTTATTGAAATTCCCTCTCATGACGCAAGAATTACTTAATGTAGTTTGCATTTTTTGATATAGAGGTTTAAGTTTTCAGTGTATGTATGGATGAACTAGAAGTAAAATTGATTTTAGTTGTATAATTTTATACAACTAATGTAGTTCTCCAAATCCAATTCATTTAGAGTATTGCATCAAACTTCATTGTTCTCCTTTTCGAGCTCATATTACCAAATATTTGGCCAGTTAAAGATTTGGAGTTGCAAACTGATGCCTGCTATTTTGGCTAGGGTCATAAAGTTTCTAAACCAAGAACAACTTATTTTGATATGAAAGGAGAATTGCCTGTACTCGTGAAGTCATATCTCGGCAAATTTCTGACGCATTGAACTGGTTTTTCATAGTAAGAAATAGGTCAAAATTTGATCTTACACCAAAAGCCTTGAAATCTCGTTTTAAATGAACCTCTATTTTATTGTTCAGAGAAATCATTGCTAAATAAGCATGTTCAAAATCTTAAAGACAAGTAGAGCCTGTTACATAACATACCTCGTTGTTTTGCTGACGTAATATTAATTGTACTTGATCTCCTTTAAGCGAAATATATCGCTGTGGTACTGCGCCTAATCATAATCTTTATCCTGTGCTGGGCACTCTAGAATCGAACTAGGTATTCAAGTTATTATTAATTTTTGCCTTATCTCATCTATACGCTTTCTACAACCTCACATATTTCCATCTCGTCTTACGTTCTACGTTGTATTTCTACTACGTTCCATATAGTTAATCTTTCGACTCTACCGTTCTCTTCACTTCTTAACACCTTATCCTTCTATTCTTTTTTACCTGATGAAGAGTTATGCTCGAAACGTCGTACCAAATATTCATTTCATGTACAAAGTCGTTATTTTATTGCATTAAATTTTGTTCTTTTTTCGACGTACAACACACACAGCTTTTTTGATTAGGAATTCAAGTAGGCACTCAAGGCCGGCATTCAGCAAAATTCTATGCATTGCGCATTTAGTTTATGTGCGTGGAGGGCTAGCAACTTATAATTTATTGTGTTTACTGCGTTGAAACATTTATTATATATAATGCATTCCAACTGAAAATAAAAAAAAACCTTTAATTTTCTGGAGAGCTTGTCTTAAGAAGTCAAACACGTCATTCCTTTCCCTAACCTCCCTTACTTGCCTGTTTTCTCAAATATTATGCAATTTTAAGGTTTAAAATACTGGTCTCAAAAGTCAAGAAATTTAGATTAATTTAATTTTCATTTAATTTTTTTGACACGGACAAGTACAATTTTTATATTTCGATCTTTACTACTTGTCTTCTTTGCTTCTTTATTTAATTTCAGCCTTTAAAATCTTCCTTTTTGCTTTATACATTCTTTTTTATTTTTTAAATAATATTGTCTATTTTGTAAAAGAATATCGTCTGTAGGAATATTCAGACTGAAAATCATACTGTTCTTAAGCATATTATGGAAATATTGCACAGTCTCAGCTCGCATGTTTGTGTCTCATTTATCAGCAGTTGCCTGTTTTGCAATGCTCATAACAGAGAAGCGCATGATAGACATATCTCGTTGTTTCAAAAAGCGTGGTTTCTGTGCAAGAGCTGACGATGTTCCCGTGAAACCATATCACGGTGCGACGATGGCTCAGTTGTTAGAGGCGCTGACTACAGACCCAAGGGTCCGTGTCCCTGGTCCGAGTCCCTGGCATGACCAAACTTTCACCCAGAGTGAGCAGAGTCGCCTGCTCTCTGTTATTTCAGGCATAGGAATCCTGAAGTGTGGTCACATAGAGAGGAAGGACCAGGACACTGCTCGATAAGCATGAGCTTCTCAGTGTCCTAAAAACTACTTTTGGCTGTTAGGTAGAAACAAATGCTAACAAAGCTATATCAAATTGATAAAAACAAGAATACTTGAAGAATATATTCAGGCTCAAGAAAGACTTTTTTATAGAATATCGAGGCTGAACAACATTTATAGCATTCTTATAAAAGTTTTGTACTTTTTAAGTATGTCCTACAGAGAGTAGTGGTCATGCTTAATATATTTCTATCGTTGGCGTAATATTGATCACTCCAAAGCCATTCTAGCAGGTTGATTTTTTCGCGTAGAGATGCTCTTTTACGTCATCGGAAAAACAGCTGTTACCGTATGCTCTTATCTAGTATTGTTCCATCGGGACTGAAAAGTCGTTTTTTCTCTTTGCGTAGGCACCGTTGTCGCCAACCAGTGGTGCACCCGTGGGCAAGGAGGGCATAAATGGGGCTAGTGATGACGTCACTCGACAAGAAGAGGAAAGGCTGTTAAGAGACCTGCAGAATCAAGCCATAACGCGAAACGATGATTTGTCTAACCCCACCTCCCCCGTCCACACGATGACTGGTTCGCCAAGGGTAATGTTGGCATCTTTTTATAATCATTTGGTGTAAATTGCCAGAAACTAGTTTCAAATTGAAGTGTTTTAAAACGTCAAACAAGCGGGTTGTGTTTGGTTGGTGTAGTTATACTCCTTGTCATGCATTCTCTGTTCCGGGTTGATTTCATCGATTCTGTATCTCATTATCTTCAGACCTTTCCTAAAAATAGACTTCAGATTTGAAATCTTTATCTCGAAATTAGTTTCTCCTGAAAACTTCGTGTCGTTTGGAAAGTTCGTTCGCGAGTTACTTTGGTTTTGAATATTTAGATATTTCTTTAGTTTCAGCCGGAATTTGCTGCTATAATCAAAACGTTTCGCTACATCAAAAAATTTCATTTAAAAATTATAGGAATTGCTAAATTTTTAAACTGGGATAATGCACTGCCCGACAATCCAAACAACATGAAATTTTCGGTACAAACTAATTTCAACTTGAAGAATCCCATTCTATGATCCATTTTTGGCAAATGGTTGCTGGAAAGTATGATTCCTTGTTCTGCACTTAAATCTCCCACCAGAATTAATCAGCTTTCGCCTATACTGTATTCACATTAACTTGCCCGGTGTCTTACAAATCGAGCCTAATGTGCAAAATTTGCATTTTTACAGTTCCACAAGCATCGTCGAGACGTCAATTCGCCGCCGCTACTTAGTCGAATGGATCATTCCAGTTCCAGTACAAACTCAGACCACGACAGAACAAGCCAGGAGAATGGACACGAGTGCTTTGTGTCCGACGGCGCGCACTTGGGGGAAGATATAAATCCTAAGAACGTAAAGTCTAGCGCAGACTCGGGACTTGGCAGCTCAGAAGTTGTGGACGAACAGCAACATTGGAGAAACGGTACGAAGGATTGTCTTGTTTAATCGTGTAATTTTAAGTAGACTTCCTAGATATTGAAGATCAAAACCCAAATTGTACGGATTGTGTTTTGTCACGTGACAAAGAGCACAGAAAATCGTTATTCGATTGGCTGTTGTCAGTGATAGGCCTGCTTCAACTGATCAAAAGAGCTGTCAGATTTCTCTTGGTGGTAACGTGGCAAACTAGTTCTTCACAAATATTTCAATCGCTCGGTGATTTTAGACGTCTGCTGCCGCCGGCTCTGATAGAAATAAGATTGATTAACAAAAACTATCCATAAAGCTCATGAATTGTTTGAATTGCACAATGCTAATGTATTTAATTTTTCAAGTTGGCCTTGGGCAGTTAAGCTCCTACAGAATGCATTTATACCCTTTTATTTACCAGAATGCATTTAAAATATGTTGATCAGGCATTGGCAAACAGGTTTCAATCTATTTCTACTGCAGGTTTGTTGACATCCTGAAAATCGGTAACTTCGAAAAGAAACCTTGCTTACACTCTTTTTTTTATAAGAACAATTTTATAAGAACACGAGCCTCAAAATTGGTCAAAAGTTAAGAACAAATTAAGAACAAGCTGAGGCTGAGCTCTGCAAAATGCAATTTTGAACAACGTTTTTTCTCAAAATCGAGGATTTTTAGCGATGTGTGGGTGCTTTTTCATCGAATATTCAAACTTTCCGGCAAATGAAGGTTATCTCACTCACTTTGTTGGCAAATGAGGCCTGAACACCTCCCTAGAGCGAAAAAGGTAGCACTCGCACTGCCTACACCCTATTAGATTAAGAACAAATTAAGAACAATCCAGCCTCAGATTTTCGAAAAAATTAAGAACAGTCAGCCTGAACTTAAATTTACTGGTTCTTATAAAAAAAAGAGTGTACCTCCTTTACTAGTATAAAGATCTACATTCTTTTGACAGTCTGCAAATTCTTGATAAATTTAATTCCTTTTCTAGAATGTCCTTCTATTCCGGAGCAAGGTGAAATGGTAAGTCACTAAAGATATGGTTTTTCTGAAAAGAACTTATTAAAATGGCGGACTTAATTTATTCCTTTATTGAATAGCGACAAGTGGTCCATTGGTCATTATTCTCACAGTAAACAGTTTGAATTCCGTTAGATGTCGAAATACGAAGCTGGTTTGTCTTTTTGCTCTTCAAAGTTCGTTTACATTTAGAATGGATTTCCGGTTAAAAATACTCAGGCCGCGTTCGAGCTATGGTTTATTGATATCTGCAAATTACTATACAGCTCTGTGCAACTCCCACCAATAGCAACAGCAATTATCATCCAAAACAACCTGCCTATATTTAAAGTGTTTTCGTTAGTATTCTTAGGCACTTCACAGACTCTCTGACAGTTTCCAAGCAAATCGCAAGGATAGACTCAAAGGTAGGCTCCAGGTTCTGGAAGCCATGCTCTTTTCTGCACAGTCCACCAGTCTTACCTACACCTTTCTTCCTATCTTCCTATTCGTACTTTTTACCTATATTTGTGACGGGACGTTGAAGTATAGTTCTTGTCATCGTCAAGCATCCAATTTCTTTCCTAACAAATTAAAAATGAGTAAAACATTACCGTCCATATCATCTTTCAATGAAACTTTCTTGTCCATGACATTCTGTTTCGTTCACTTAAAAGCTTGTAATTTGCTCGCCAATATGGTTTTATACTAGATTGTGGCTAGCCCCTCAAAGAAGTCATTTTCCAGAGTATTATTTGTGTCATCTAGATAATTACTTCTTTTCTCGCCGAAATGCGAAGCAAAAGCTGTTACGGGCGGATGGTTAAGTAAAAAATTACAAGGAATATTGAAGTAAATAGGTCCTAGTGAATTGTGGAGGATTTTTGTTAAATATTTTTTAAGGAAACCGTGGCGAAGGATTTTTTTGAAATATGTTTTTCAAGCAAACCGTGTTGCTGACTTCCATTGATGGAAAACTCCTTTCGTTTTGACTAGGTTTTAAAAAGAGAAGGTTCTAGACAGAGCTATAGCCGGCCAATTTGGCGTATTTTCAGCAGCTATGCTTTGCTTTTCAGAACATTTTCAATGGCTTGTGTAATGGTTACAGCTGATAAGCTGATGTGCAGTTCTTTAAATAGCAAAGCTGATTTGCAGTTTTGAAGTATATATGCTGTTTCTCTTAGACATGAGCCGATGTGAATTTTGATATCCTGGCGTGTATACTGCATACAATGTATTTCCCTTGCTGTTATGAAGAACTTGCTTCTTCAGCCATTGATGTATCGATCAGTTTCGTGCACTCATCTCTGCTGAGGTGTAATGCAAAATATCAATTTTGTAGACACCTGTATCCTACTAAATGACTAACCCAGACACCTGTCATGTTCTTTTACTTGAATTTGCTTACATATTTCATGTCGCGACGTAATTTGCCTTCAACGGACTAGCGATTGCTTTAATGCACTCTGATTACTTCGTGCGAAGAATCTGCAACCGCTCCCACAGCGGTGCTGTGTAGTTACATCGACTGTGTCTACGACTCTCACACTGGTGCTTTTATGAAGCATCTGGATGCTATTATGAAGCATGGTTTTCCCATGTCTTCCGTGCATCTGAATAGAAGCGCAGTTACTGGGAAGAGGTACTGAGTTGTTCAAGCATAAATTTTGCAGCAAATAAGGGCGAGGTTTGGGAACAGCGAAAGCTATTTCCCCTACGCTAATGTAGCGTGTCTCTAAGATCAGAAGGCATATGGAGTTTTAAAATGACGACGCCGAAAGTAAGTGTTTTTGGAATTTTTCAATTTTGACCGCACAATCAGAAAGACCATTATGAAATGTCTCTATATGCAAAATTAGGTACATGTATTGGAAATTTACTGAGATATGGCCACATTAACACATACATTTTCCCCAACAATCACTATAATTCGACCTTGGTTTTCAAGTAATGAACCTATTCCAAACAACAGTAATCCATTAGCAAAACTCTTTTACCTACTATATCTCAGTCAAGTTGCAATAGATTTAGCTGATTTAGCACTCGTAGAGGTATTTAATGGTGTTCTTACATGTTTTGTAGTCAAAATTCGAAAGTTAAATAAAATGAGTCAATGATGTTAAACTAAGGTACTCTATTTTGCCTTGTAGTAGTACTGCATCCTGAATCTTGTTACTTTACTGCCCTCGCTTATAAACTACATAATAGCACGAAGCTCAGATATTAATTAACGCCAGCATGCCAGCCCCCTTGAATGTTAGGCTGACAAAAAACCCTGAAAATGCACATATCTGTATTTGCGTGAAAATTATTTGGCTTCTTCTGTTTGTTCTGACTCGCAAACTCCTTTTAGAGAGGGGGAAAGGAACCGGGTCTTATAGACTGTATGAGTCTTTGTTATTAATTTGTTACTACCTTTTACATGTGATTCAAATGTATAGGTAAAACGCTGGCAATCCAAGCGTTTTTGGAAAACGGGTCACTTTCGGAACCAAAACATTCAGCATTCAAAATTAATGATGTGTGATATTGCAAAAGTCGCAAGTTCCAAACGAAATATGTTTCGGCTAATGAACAAAAACATCTTGACAGTCTTGAGTGTGTCACAACGGCAGAAACGACAGTTTTAGAGTCGGTTGGAAAATTCGTTTGCTAATTAAGGAACCTTGTTTTTGTTTACACATAAAATGGGATTTGTATAAACCGACATCGTCTTTGCTCGACTCATCTTTGAAAACCACTGGCTTGGAAAAACAAGTAACGATCGAATTTTTGTTAATGTAATATGTTCATCTTTTTATGGCTCATAGCCTGATAAGAAGTGTACAAGAAAGAACTTCAGTATTTTCCAAAATCTTCCGTCGTCTTGAGTAGTGTTTCAATTGTAAAGTCTGCATTAACTCAGTCCCTTTTCCTGTCAAAGAAACTGTACAATGCCTGATGTCAGCGGCAGCCTCTAGATGAATCCGTTTTGAAGCGTATTGATTGAGCGTACTTAGTTTGTTCTCAAATTTGAAAACCTCATTACACTCTCTGCACATAACACAGTTCTGCCTTTTGCTACAGTTCATCCATATAACTTTGTATATTACACAAATATGACCCTTTTTGTCATCAAAACACGTCTTTCGCGTATCCGTGGTTTTCGGCATATGCTTTTAAGCCTAACGAATAGACATCTTTAACCAAAAAACGCAAGCATATTTTCAATAAATAATTCAACTTCTGTATATATGTTGATTTGGAAATCGTTCAAACCTTCTGCCCAAATAACAGCAACATCGACGTTTATATTACATTCTCATCAATAATTCTTATTAAACATCTTTCGGGTTTTGTTTTTTGGTTCTATTTTTCATTCAACATTGTTCAGCCACGAAATCCATTCAGTTTATTAAATAACGATAAACGTAATATATTACAAAGAAAGTTAATTATAGTAAAAGGTTGGACGGACAACTGTATAGATGAACCCCACTTCATGAATGCGATGATACCTAAGAGTTTTTCATAGGGGCAACTTTCTGAGCATGTCCGCCATCTTGAAAAACCACTCTTCAAGATGCATATGTACTAAATGGCCGTTGAACTGCCTCTGAAAACGACTATCAATCACTTTCATTGGAAGCCAAGTATGGAGAAGCGATTCTCTCACATTAATCTGTTTATAATTAATTATAGACTAATTTTATTTATTTGATAGATTTATTATTTTCATTACTTTTGTAATTGTTTTCTTTATTTATAATTTTGTTTGTTTATTTTAATTCTTAATTTTTTTTAATTGTAAATTCCTAATCTTAATTTGTAATGTTTTTTTATCTGATTCTTTGAATTTTTCCCAATTACTTTGGTCTATTGGCTGTTATTCCAGTAACTTGTTTCACTTGCTTCACGAATATAGAAATTTTGTGACAATTGTCAGCGAAACACCGAATCGATGGGTGTTTCAAAATCTGAAGAAGTATAAAGGACTCCTAAGACTTTTAGGGGTCCCTTTTTGTTTTTGGTGATTTACCTTACTTTCTCATGCAACGGTGCTCTACTTGGTTAAATCGAACTGCTGATCTATAAAAATTACTGGGTCGAGCTTATCCAGTTACAAGAGTGTTCTCATCCAAGAAGAGGGCCCCAGAACAGCCACTTTGAGGTGGAGGCCTTAACTATCATTCCTAACAACGTTTTTGGGTCCATCGACTGTCTACATCAGTCACAACGTTGGTTTTGAGCAATGGCTTCCCGCCTCTGTTTACGGTCTCATTTCTTTTGAAAGTGACTTGGCTTAAAACATGCAAGAAGACAGTATGGAGCTCGATCCACTCTACTTTATAGTTGAGCTGGTTGAACTGGGGCGGGAAGCCACTACCTACCCTGGGTTCCAGAGCGTCAAGGGGGTCTCTCCCGCAGCGCCCTATTTCCTCGACGCTCCACTTTTTTTTACCCTTGACGCTCTGAAACCCAGGGTAGTCACTACCTAGACCTTCTGGAGAGCTTTGGAGGATCTTTTGACATACAAAACTACTTAGGATCCCTCCTAGGCCCACTGATCTCGACAGTCAAGTCCCGTTTTCAGTGGGTCCCGTGGTGATTGATAGCCGTGAAAACAGGTCGCCCTCAGAACAAATCTACACTTATATGTCAGTTCTTATCAGTTCTTATTGTTCTAGCCTTCTTCGGCATGTTTTATTCCCAATCTGTTTCTGAATGACGAGCACGTGTTAGAAGAGACCTACAAGATAAGTAAATGGATTCTTACAGAACGTCTATTTGATATCTCTTTCAAAATCGCCGAAAACCCATCCATGATGTATGAGCTCGTTGGAAGTGTCTCTGGATATTCATTTTTTTCAAAGTCAAACCAACGCGCATAAAAAACCTTACTTGCAAAACTTCTGGTGGTTAGCCTCTAGTTTTTTTACCTTTAATAAAGATGTAACTTCCTAAAAATCTAATTTGTATTCAGCTTGATAAACCTAGTGTCGTTATACTTATTGAAAAAATTTACCTATAATGTTTTGAGATAT